CACCAAGTGCCTCAATTGGAGTCAATACGAGGATGCACATTGCCATGATCTCGCTTTTATATTGCGTTGCTGAATTTGATGCCTGCTTTGGCTACTGTCCCTTGCCATCACTGGTGCTGATACCGACTGTGAATGCTGCATCTTCTCTGCCATGTCCTGCCTGTCGTCCTTGCTCTTGCAACTACGCTGAGCAACTGTCTTCTCTGACCTTCCTACCTCCACCCTTGCTGCTGTTTCCGCTCCTGCTGCTGCCATGCCCACGTTCCAGGGCAGTCAGGGTAGGTAGTAGGACAGCCCAGAATTCCGCAACAGCAAAACCCTGATGCTTGAACCCACACTTCAGAATGCCTGCGCTGCTGCAACCTGAAGATACTCAGAGCACCTGAACTCCAAACTGGCCCCCAAAAGCCCCGGAGGGCGCGCGCGCGCGCCGAGCCCTCCGCGCCGCCGCCAGGCGACTCCTTCCACTGCTTCTGGGCGCCGCAGATGCCAACGTCGCTGATGGCATCCTGGAGACCGCTTCCGTTGAGGGGGAGGCTCTCGAGGGGTATGTGTGTGTGTGTATATATATATACACACATATATACAGATATATACAGATACATATATCTGTATACATATATACATATAGTTATATATATATATATATATATATATACATATACATATATATATGCATGTACATTTTATATCTAACAAGTCTTCAAAAGGGTCCTTAGAAGTCGAATGAATGAGGCTTTGCGCGGCTTACATCAGGGTTCGGGTTTTGAGGTCCAGGCTGGCAACGGTTTCGGCACTAAGGCTCTCGGTTTTAGGCCTTCAGGCTGGCAAGGGTTCAAAGTGTTCAGGCCTTCAGAGCTCAGGCTTTGAGGCTTTTCGTGCTTTGTCACAGGATGTGCTCCGGGTCCGGGGTCTTTGCAGCCGATGGACATCCTTCGAAGGACGTGCAAAGGCTGACGGCTATGGGAATCGCTTCAGAAATGCCCGCGTCCTGGCCTGTGGGACTCTCACCTTGAAGCCGTTTGTGGAACCTGGCAAAGAAGAAAGTCCACGCCAACAGCAGTTAAGTACCAGCAGTGCTACAGCGACTTGTCTCTCTTGGGCCGCTACGGAGATCACCGCGCAGGTTCACTGCATTGACGTTGATGCGGATGCAGGAGTCGTCCGAGACTACGTTCACGCCGTCCCTGCAGGCTGGTTACTGTCAGCTGCAATTTCCCGTGCATGAACCATGAATCTGAAGGAAGTGCTGACGGGGACAAGGGGTGCATGTCACTCAAGACATAGCACGGCGCGCCAGCACCAAGCCTTGGATTGCTCATCTGCATCTCCCCATCGCTGCTCGTGGTGCCGGTGACGCTAACGCTGCCAGAAGTGGACACCTGTCAACACCGACAGTTCTGTGCGGGGTCACAAGCTCTGTTTCAAAGGAGGTTTTGGTCAGCGGAGGAACTGCAAAGATCAAATCGAGACAGGCACAGCACGCCTGAGTTCCGTTCACGAAGACTTTGGCACCGTTGTTCATCTCGATGCCGACGAACAAGATGGCTGAGTGCTTCCAGTCCCTATGCTGGCATTGGAAAGCATCGAGCTTGAAGCCTCCACCGCATGCATCGATGTGTGCGTAACGGTACACCCCAACTCCGTGGAAGTCGAATCTGCCGTTCACACTCCAGCTGTCACTGGTGTGTGGGTCACCCCAAACGTTGCATCTCTCGAGACGCTCATCGTTCCAATCTTCAATCGACGAGCACTTTGAGCAGTCAGCCTCTCCGCTGACTAGGCTCACAAGCACGGCCACAGCTTGCCAAATCATGAAGTAGGTGCGGTGCGCCATTATCCGGCCTTATCTGCCACACACAGGTGGCTGTCACAACCGCTGTTGCCAAAACAGCTTGTGACCTGGAGCCAAACGCCAACAGGAAACGTGAGCTACTGACTTCCAAGCACCAGCTCAAGGAAGCCCAGGTTCCGCTGATTCAGAGGCGCGTCACATTCGACCGCTGAGGCGGAAGGGGATGCGGATGCTCTCTTTTTCAAGCCTCGCAGACCGGTCGCAGGCTCTACTCCGAGACCTCGGCGTTCGAAGGCACGGCACCTCGGACATCAGGATGGGATATAAGGTATATTATATATCATCATAATCAGCGCGGGAAGGCATTCAATGATGCTCTGCCTCCTAATGCTAGGTTTTTTGGAGCGCTGCTTGCATCTCACGAGCGGAAGTCTCAGTCGCCTGCTTTCAGCCGCCTGGGTCAAGGAAATGTGCAAGACGAATCTAGTGAGCAAGGCATATGTGCAGGGACGGCAACTAGAACATGAGGAGCAACATGTGACAATGACAATAACTCATCACACTCAGGGCGGCAATTCAATGCCAAGACGGTCATCCTTATCTGCATCCTCGCGTGATGATCGAACCCAGCGCTGTCAAGAGCTTGTCGCCATCAGCATCACCCGCACAACTACTAACAAGACCATCGACGATCCCCAAACTGCTGCGAGATGCTGCCCTGAACTGTCACCTGCCATCCCTTCAATCCTTGCTGTTCTCACGTCGTATCATCTTCAATGTAGTACTAGGCAGCATCATGGGCAGATTTTGATCTCAACTCGGCCTCTGGAGGCGCCGTGTCGGCCGGGAGCTCGGCGGCTTCAGGAGGCGCCTTTCTGGGATCTTCGACCTGCGAAGCCAAAGAAGCCAAGCAGAGAGCGAGGGAACCCTCTGCTCTTCCGGGCTTCGAGGCTTCAATCCAACGCCCCGCCCCGCCCCGCCCCTCCTTGGAAGAACGTTCCAGAAGCAAGATCATCTCACAGTGAACCGTGTGGGGGAACATGTCCTCAGACTCGGCGACACCGTGCTGTCACGGTGGAACTTCAAGCTTGCGGTGGGAGGCGTGCGCCTTGAGGGATGAGGGATGTTCCAGGCTGCTACGATTGTAGGTCGGGGTTGGAAGCCGATTACCGGGGCGTTGCTGGGCCATGCACCACTGCGACGGCTCGTAGGGGAACGAAAGGATCCTGCACCCGGGGTTTTGCCGCGTTCACAAGAACAGAGCGAGTGCTGCCGGGAGCTCCTCGTCGCTTTCAGAGGGCATCGTCAGCTTCACAACGTCCTCTGCAGTGCCAGGGCCCCTCGCACCTGCGCATTCTCCGCTCTACGCGGTCCTCCACCAGCGAGTCGGGGTTGCAACTCACGTACACGATTCGCGACCTGATCACGCGGCGGAGAGAGGTGACCCTAGCTTGACGGCTCAGACAATCAAGCGTGGACAGGCATGTAGACCGACTTCAAAGCATAAAAAGACATGGCCAAGGCACAAACGCTGTATGTACCTGCATATGTACATAGATCCAAGCAAGCAGACAAGCAGACAGGCAGGCACGCAAACATCCATACATGCATACATAAGTACGTATGTACACATGCCCGGTTGATGTAACCTCCGCAACTAGAACGTAACAGAAGTAGCACCAGCGAAATCTCGTCAGCTTGAGCAGCTTCCTGTTTCAAAGATGCGACTGCTTCCGAAGAGCTCTTGCGGGCCCTGATGGCCCCCCCCCCCAGTGAGATCTACACATTAATAATCCTCTTCTGCTTTCTCAGTTTGCTCCCTGGCCATGGCGAGGGCTCGAGCCCTCTCTCAGAGGATCCGCGAAACCCTGCAATCTGCGGAGCATCTCCGGCAAAAGTCTGCTCTCTAGGGGAGCAAAAAGAGAGAGAGAGAGAGAGAGAGAGAGAGAGAGAGCCGGGGGGGGGGGGGCCGGGCCACAAAGGCACAGCAGCTCTGAGGCTCCGACAGCTGAGGGCAACCCCTGGCAGGCAAAGATGTGCTTGTATTCTGCTGGACGACACATGGGCCCAGTGGCCCAGTCTCAGGTCCGGAAACAAGGAAAAAGTCTCGAGCCTACACTTTGAAGCCGGCCAAACCCTTCCGAAGTTAGCGTCTTCCAGGATTTAGACGGCAGTCAGAGTGCCTCAGCGCGCGCAGCACCGAAGAGTGTAGCCCCGGGCGAGGTGGGTCGACGACCTCTCTTTCACGAATAACTTCAAAGTCTCTTTCAATGGTGAAACCCGCAAGATGTTTGGTGCATTCTGCAGCCGCCATCGCCACGATCGTTGTCATCACCATCATCGCCTTCATCGCCAACCATCGGACGGCGTCACGATGATGCTTACAGTGTCGTCACCACCACCACCTGAAAAAAAAGGCAATCGTCATCGATATCATCCTCGAATTCAGCACCCTGACTAACCTCATCATGGTCAACACTTCCCGCAACGTGGTTGCCGCAAAACACAGACCTTCCTGACATACGAGTGCCACTGCATGCGAGTGCCACTGTACTGAGGCGACAACATACTCCAGAAACAAGAAGAATCACAACAGCGATTGCACAGAGCACTCCCCCAGATCCCCAGGGTCCACACCGCGCAGACCTCAAGGCTTGGATCCAGCCTTAGAGTCTCAGTGTTGCTATTCAGATAAATATAAATACCATAGACGATGAACAACAAATATTATGTATAATACATATTATATGTACATATTTGCAATGACTGACAACTGTAACATCAGTCATAGCGACTTATAACACGTGCACGGCAGAAAGTGGGGCACACCTACCGCTGTCAAACATGGATACTTGTCATTGTACCTGCCTGAAAGGCCCGGCAAGATTCGGAGCAAATTGCAAGAATTCTGAATCGGCTGGCGGCTACACAGACGACAAGAAGAAGAAGGCTGATCATTGTGACAGGAGGAATAGTGGTTCGATGATCCAAAGCATCGGACTGAGGACCCGGCTTTTGGAGGACTTGGGGTAAGACATCTTCGGCCTTTCCCACCTCAACTTCTTCGGCTTTTGCTGCGGCGTCCGCTGGCTGAAGGAACCAGTCCTACACAGTGGATTCGAAACCCCTGAAGCTGAAACCCTAAACCCGAAAAAAAACTGAAGGCCCAACTCCTGATACCCTCAGGCCTTGTGACTTTTCACATCTATCCGACGAGAGAGGCCCCAGCAATCCACTCGGTGTTGTCCACCTTGTTCAAAGCCTCAGCACACTCAACATCAAAGCCAACGCGGAGTTGGCGCGTCGCAGGGCTCGCTCTCATTTCATGAAAGAACTGATGCCCTGGAGTGCTCGAGATCTCCCTTTGGACACCCGCTGCACTGCGGTCGATCCGTTCCAGCTACTAACGCTGTTGCACTGTTTAAGCGTAGTGTTTTGGGGGTCCTTGCTTGGATTTCGGAAAGTTCTGGGGGGCGGCACGGCGTTGGCCTTCGCTGCCTCCACGGCCTGCAATAGCCCAGAGCTCGCCCCACGAAAGGCGCCACATCGCCAAGCCCCAAAAAAGCGCGAGAACACTCCAGATGTGTGCACCCCCCCTTGAAATGCCAGTTCACTCTCGGAGTTCATCCCAACTCCACGAGCCAAATATTCGGTGCAAATCTGTTTGGGATCCCCAATATACTGCTTCTTTTGTACAAACTCTACAACTGAGTCAGGCCCCTCGTCCTTTCGGAGTGGGCCTTGCCTCCGGGATCAGCTCGATACCAATGACCCGGCGACAGCGGCGGCTGGCGCAGAGGCCGATGGTGCCCACCTGAGGCGAGAAACCAATCACGGCTGAGGGGTCTCAATCCTGTTTCGGCAGAAATGTATCAAGGCTTTGGACTCTTGTCTGCTTTGAAGCTCTTGGGGCCGGACCCCGCAGCAGACGTCCAGCACTGCCACGTCCTGAGGGCTGGTCGCCCCAGGCTTCGCAGGAATGTCTTCAAAGCTTGAAAAGGCAGCAGCACCAATCATGCCAAGGTGCGTTCTCCGGCCTCAGCCACTCCAGGGCCCGCTCGTAGAGCAAGGCACAGGTGCTGCTGTTGGCCTCGCGCGAGGCCGCAAGGCCCTCTCCCAGAGACCAGTCCAAAGCTCGGCTGCTCCTGGTAGAAGGAGAGAGGGCCGATGTTGAAGCTGAGCCCAAGGAGCTGCATCCTGAGGCCAGGAAGGCTCTCAGCTCTCGTCTCTAACTTCTCACCGCCGGCCGGCCTGAGCTGGGCATCGCCGTGGATGTGCATCAGGGGAGCTCCCGGCCGCGCCGCATCGGAGATCTCGCACAGAAAAGAGCAGAAGACGTCGGGGTTTCGCATGGCATCAAAGAACCGATGCCTCGTCGTTGAACTGCAGGTAGATGGACACCACGTTGATCTGCAGCTCGGCCTGAACAGTTCGCGCAGCGCTGGGAAACCGAGTCAGCTCAGGGCCAGACAGGCAGAGCTCTGGGTGCCTTTGTCAGCGCCGCGATGACCTCCGCGGCCAGGGCCTCGCGCTGGGCATCCTCCAGCTTGGCCGTCTGCACCTGCCACCGTGCTGCGATGACTTCCGATTTCCTGTGCGGCTCCCTCTTCCTATCCCCGCTTCATCGTGTATGACGCTTGGCCAAAGCGACTGCGATTGCCACCGTTACGTTTACTTTTCATGTTACAACCAAGTGCGTTCTCCTGCCACTGCTGCTGCTGCGACTACACTGTCTTCTTCATCTTCACGTTCCACTGCTGATACTTCTGGCTTCATTGCTGTCCTCATTGCTATTGCTGCTGCCGCTGCTGCTGCGACGACGACGGTAAGTGTCCGCTGTTCCGGCTCCTGCTTGCTTGAGATGTTACTCTCGTAGGTGCCAATCCTACGTATTGTCACCGTTCTTGCGCCTGCTATGGTTACCAGTCTGGTACACCTTACAGCTCTTACTCTTCGTAGGCCAGTGGTCCCGTCAACACACGTTCTATGGATACAGTAGAAAACGTAGAGATGTGGAAGTAGCAGGCTGATGACGATCAGCACCACCATTTGTGCCACTTGTAGTAAAAGTAGCTTACGCCTCGACGAGGCTTCGTCTTCTCAAACCCAAGCACTGCACAGGATGCTCTGAGCGCGGCTCCATGACAAGGAGCTCTTCTGCGGTGGACTGCCGAACCATGACCTCTCCGTCAGCTTCGTTCGGTTAGCTTGGGATTCTGGGGTCAGATTCCGCGTCGAAGACTGAGGCTCGGGTCTCAGGGTTTGCGGTTTGGAGTTGACTTTGCGTTTAGACTCCGCGGCGGGAGGTTGTAAGCAGAAGACAGAAGACAAACTCATGCTGTGACAGTGAGAAGGAGAGACAAAAGTAGGGACACAGGGAGTCTGTGAGGGTTTCGGGGTAGGGGGCTGGAAACTGAACCTGGCGTACCGCGTTTGCATCGCCTGGTCTGAAACACTCCTCCCAGAAGAAATCCGAAGCTAACGCAGGCAGCGAAGCAGGTTTGGGGACTCTGCCACCAGGCAGTGCCACTCTTCTCCTCTTACAGCAGAACCTCAAAAGCTCACATAGCGATTCGTCGGCATCGACTGGGCCATGTGGCTCTGCACCGCTGGCCGACTGTCCCGTCTCTGGCAGATCCGATCTTCTGATCGCGCAAGTTCCGGGCTGTCGAAAAGTTCCCCTACGCACACAGCAGTATTGTGGGTTTCTCGCGCAAAATTAGACCAAATGTCTCAGCTTTTGTGTTTTGCAGGAGCTCGCAGAGGCTGCTCTTGAAGACGCTTTTCTCTCGCACAGAGCTCGAGCTCTGCAAGCCCGCGACCGGCCCCGAGCTCCGGAGTCTGCTCTGCCCAGGATACGCCAAAGAGATAGAGCCACCCACCACCCACACCTTTGCCTGCCTTGGCAACTTGCAGCCACTAGGAGAGGGGAAGCAGTGGAATGTGGGATGCTCAAAGCTGGTCCCGCCCAGGTCTCAATGAAACGCAGCTGTGCCTTTTGAAGACGGTTCGCGGATCCGATCTCGCGAATCTCGCGGGTCGGGGCCCGTCCTGCCGTTTGACGGCCAGGCAACTCCGGCAAAGGCGAGGGCCTCTGCCTCCCCACGATGACCGTTCGCGGACCCGATCTCAAGCCTCTCGGAGGCTTCGAGGTCCACCTCCACCTCCACCTCCTCCTTCTCACACACTCGAATGCCCAACCGAGCTGCTACGTTGGCCAATCCTCCTGGAGAAGTCATCTGCAAAGTGGTAGCAGCTGCATGTGAGGATGCAGTACTCATCGTACTCCTCCACAAGATCTCCGATGATCTCCGCGATGTCTTCTGCACTGCACTGTGTAAATCCTAGGTGCACCGTTTGACTGTAACGATGAAGAGGATAGCAGCGCGGCTCCGTGCAACCCACGCCAGCAGTTGCGCTGTCTTCGCCCGCGTCAGCGAAGCTCCACTCCAAGCCGTTCACCTCGATGCCAGCATGGAAGGCGCCGGCATGCGCCGGCACAAGGCGCTCAGACCTTGTTGAGTGTCGTCCAACAGCAGTCCGAGACTGGCCCAGACGAGGATATGTGATTTGCGCTTCTTCTCTGGCATCCCCATCACCTCTCGGTGTTCGCTATTGCTCCAAACCAGAAAGCAGGTTTCATGCTATAGACTCTATAGACTCTCTATGCCTTTATTGTCGTTCCATCCCCAGCTCCCTCACCCTAAACCCTGGACCGCCGCTGCCCTCACCAAAAACCCTCTGGAGCCCTTTGCTTGTCTAAGCGAAAACAACAGATCTGCCTCTCTTCAGTTTCAAGAGCCCCAGGGCCCCAGCCATCCGCCAGTAGCCCCGCTGCCAACCCTTGCCGCGCTCGAAGATGCTGAAGGCGGAGGCCCTGAAGAAACGACGAAGCTCGGGTTCTGGGTTTGGGGTTTGAGCGCTTTGCCTGAGTTGAAGGGCTTACGGCTTATAGGGCTTCGGGGCATGGGTTTCAGGAACAAGACTTCTGACATGCGGGTATTTCCCCATTCCATGGTACGCGGAAGCCTGTTGCATAATAAACTTCACAATCACAGCTGGCATGGCACGAAGCATCGCCACTACAAGCAAAGCACTGCCGGCGGGGCCTCACGCAGTCGCGGAGGGCCTGGCAGCGCTAGGACATCTGCCGTGGGCAATTCTAGTCAATTCTGTATCTCTTGTCCGAGCTGCAGACCGGCCTTGCACAGCTTCTTCATGGCCACAGGTACCAGTGGCCTGAGATGCCGAGGTCTGGAATGGGCTGTCGCAGGTCTCCCCATAGCCCTCCTTCACTTCTGAGTCGTCTCAATTTTGTCGCCCATGGCAAGTGTCTTAAGAACTACTTTCGGCCACAACAATGCAAGGCATGAGGGACACAGAAGATTGGACGAGTTTGCAGTCACTGTATGATGATAGGAGTAAAAGTCCAGATCAATGGAGACTCCTTCACATGCTTTCGACTCCCTTGCATTGCTCCTGGGAGCTACGCGTGCAAACGCCCGTGGGACGGTCACGCCTCACGTCAAAGGGGCCCAATCCTTCAAAGGACTTCGGTGGAAAAACGCGCACTGCGTGTTGTCCGCCTGGCGAATTAGTTAAAGCTCGGCAGGGACTGGAGTAGCTCAGCAGCCCTGCTGCACTTCCTCCTCAGCTGCGCCTGCACAGGTACTCAAGGAATAGGAGCATGCTGGATCATGATGGCCCAGGTGGTGTAGTGGCTACGCAAGGAGCCTGAAGTCTCACAGCACCCTGCGTGTTTCCCCCTATAGAAACACTCCCACGCACACTCCTCCAAATCCAAAAGACGCTGCCCTGGCCCGCCGAGGCCGCTGCCCTGTGCATCGGGAGACTCGAAGCCTCGTCTCAGTCGCTCCTCAGAGGAGGACGAGGGCTCCTTGAAAACCTGGACCTCTGAGGTTGCCAGGGTGGTAGAGGGGGGGGATGGGAGGTTTTCTAGAGAGTGTACATCTTGGGGGCACGAGAAGGGACAACATCGCAAGCTCTACATGCCTCTACGTTACTGGCGCCTCTCTTGATTCATATTGATATTGCTTGGAGAAAGAGGATAAACAGGGAAATCATCATCCTCACTGGAAGGAGGCAGGGAGAAGAAAGAGAAGGTGCATCTAAACATTCCACTTGATACGAAGACAGAGAAGCAGACGGTTCGAGCACTTGCCAGCACGAGAAGACGGTTTTTCTGAGACCGAAAGCTTGGCCACAGAAAACGGTGGCTCCTGGAGGACAGCGAAGATGGCTCGGCGGATTTCCTGGTTGACCTCAGCCAGCAAAGAGAGGCCGAGGGTAAAGACAACCTAGGTCATTCTCAGCCTCGCCGTTTATGAGTTATACATTCTCTTTTGTTACTGATGACTCTCGGACTCCTAGGATAAAGATCATAGCTACTCCTTCCGCACGGCGAGCTCAGTGGCTTTTCGTCTCACTTCTGACCGCTGGTGCGGTTGGATGTTAGAGTGTAAAAATGCTCCCGAAGAAGCCCAGCAAGAAATGGTCAGGAAATGTAACTCAACCTTCTTGGTAAACTGTCACCTACTTCCTGAAAATACATCCATCATCCACTTGTCGCAGTTGGAGCTCTCCGGGGGCTCGGCCCCTTCGGCATGTCGAAGGCCCACCGCAGCAGAAACGGCGCGTAGCTCGACAGCTGGAATCTCCTTGAAAGATCGGGGCTTTGGGGTCCCTGCGGCATCGAAGCTTCAGACCCGGCTGCAGCGATTTTAAAGGAAAAAATTTGCAAGCGCCTGGCCCCTTCACCCTCTTTAGCTGCCACGGGTCTGACTCCAGGACTGCATGGAGCAGCCCTTCCAGGCATTGCTGGCAGTCGGCGATACGGACGGCCACCTCGAGATAGATATATATATATATATATACTCACACCGAAAACCTCCTCAAAGCCTACCTGCACCTTCAAAAAGCACCCTCGACTAAACCGATTCGAGTCACGAGCACGATCATGCATCGTTTAACGCAAGACAACCACAAGCTTCCATTTCAAAAATGCTCCCCCGCCGACCCCAAAGCCCACGAACGTTTCTACAACACCCTGGCCCAAAGCCCTAAACCTTAAGCCTCAAGACTCAAGAGCCGCAAAAAGAACGCCCTCGAAAGGACCTCCTTGAATGTAATTCCCTCGGAAGGAAACATCTCAAAACGGAGGCCTCGTCGTGGCCGGAAAGGATGGCCAGGGCTCCCGTGGCGGCGATCTGCTGTCGCTCGATCTGCCAGGGCGGGGCGGCGGGGCGGAGGGGGGGGGGGGGAAGGCAGGACCTTGGGGTAAAAGAAAGGAGCCTCAAGAGCCCTTAAAGGGCACTGGAAGGGTTACTACAAGGCTTCAGGCTACTTGCGCGGCCAGAGAAAAATGAAGCAAGGTTCTGGAGCATGTTATGGCTATTATTGCCATATATTGTCCTCGTAGGCCGCGTTTAGGATTCTGAGGCTAACTATACCATACCGTAATTAACGGGGCCTGCGCAGGAAAATGCAGGTTATATGCTGTGGTGATGTTCTCCCATCGATGTTGCTACGATGCCCTTCTTGCCTGCTCACCTCACTAAGAAGTACATTCATGTAACGACGCATCAAGGAGCCCTGGTGTACGGGCTGCTATGTCGGATTACCCCACCTTCGTCCCACCTTTAGAGCACTTTGCCGTCAGCAACCCAAATCAGTTGCAACACACTGAAGCCTCGGATGTACAAAAGGCGCCAAAGATCTTCAGCTCGTTCTCGGCTTTACCCAGGGCAAAGCGCTCGGCCACCTTTCCACGCTCGCTTGGGCTGGTCACGGTACAACTGCCTTTCGATTTCGTCGGAATCTGTATACTAATGAATCTTGTAATACTGCCGAGTTTTGTCCATCAACAGACTGACAGGGGGGCTCAGTAGTCAAGGTCGCTTTTGGAGGCGTTGAGGTGCTGGCTGCAGTCGGCTCCCTGAAAAAACCCATAGCCGGCACTGGAACCCTGAACGCCGAAGCCAATGAAGACCCGCGAAGCCCTTCTTGGCTTCTTGGAGGTGCGGGGTGGTTCAGAGATAAGTCCCCTGAGTCGAGTAGCCTCGCTAGTACTGTGTTTTGAAGATACATAATCGTTCGGATACAAGTGCTACTACGCAGTTCCACCAAAACGTATTCTAGTCACTGAACCCCCTATATCTTTTCGTACACATACTATACCAAAATGGGCTCTATCCCCAAGCCCTCAAGTTCCCGCGGCCCCTACCCCTAAACACACAAACCCTAAACCCTCCTGGACCCTAAACCCTAAACCCTAAAACACCCTAAAACACCCTAAACACCCTGAACCCCAAAAACCCTAAACCCTCAACCTTTTTCTTAAAGCCAGGTTTCACCGCAGCCCCGGACCCCCGGGCCGAGGCCTCCTCAGCCATCGTCAGGTTGCACATCGCTTCAAGGCCGGCCCTCTGAACCTCCGGGCCGGGCCGAAGCTTCAGGAGCGAGCCCGGGATTCAGAGCTGTAGAGGGCTTTTTAGGGGTTTTGCGGGGCTGTAGGGCTTCAGGGCTTCAGGGCTTCAGACTTTTCAGCTTTGGGGTTCAATAGTCCGGATTTCGAGGGCTTTGGAGGGGCGTCGTCCGGCGACGACGCATCTTGAGCCTGGGCTCTTGGATTCAAGGCTCTGTTTCGGCTAGGGTTTAGAGCTTGGGGGGTTCAGAGTGTCATGTGCCTCCTCGTGATCAGAGAACAGCAAGTCCTTGCACTTGCTCCACGCGCCCGACTGCCTCAATGGTCAAGAACTTTACTCCCTCTATCGCTTCAGGCCCGACCTTCAAAAAGCTGTCAAGAGCGAGTCGTCTTGCCGACCGTGCCCTATTAAGGAATTTCGCCTCCTCTGGGGGCAGTGGAGTCTCGCGATTCTCCGCGCGAGTCGAATTCATTCATCTTGCAGCTCAGGCACAAGGCAAAGGAACGGAGCTCTTCACTGGAAGAGAGGAGGTTCGTCAAAGCCAGGCAGCCTGGGGCTGACTCCTAGGGGTTTTGGTAGTGTTTAGAGCCCTTTCACCTTACTGGAACATGTCTTCCGAAGCAGGCCATCTTTGTTTAGCTTTCGAGGTGCAGGGCTTCAGGGTTGAGGGCTCAAGGCCGAGCACAATCTCGAGAGAAGAGGAAACAAGACGCCACGAATCCCTGAACAGCTCATCCTCAAACCCCAAATCCGAAACCGGCAAGCCCGACTCCAGATTTTGCGCCTTCGAACTGCAGCAGCTCGTGCCGGTGCTCCAGCAATGCAAGCATCGGCCTGCAGACGACGAGAGCCGGTGGACGAGTGACGGTACAGAACACCACCGAGCACTATCGCTACTCCTCTTCGTGGTCTTCGTGATAGCGGGGAGCAGGAGCTACAGTTTGAGGTATAGGTGTTGGCACCATCTGCTCTCGGAAGCCATGTCCGCAAAGAGGCGCCTCACAGCATCAAGCTGCTCCTGATACCTGCAGCGTCGCAGAGCTGCGCAGGAGGCTCGGGAGGTCCCTTCTCCGAAAGACCAGAAGCTTTGGGATCTGCCTACCCCTTTCGGGACATGGGAAGAACCTCGGAAGCCCTGCGGCTCAGCGCGAAAATAACAGGCCGAGCAGCTGCAGAAGCTGTGGGTTCATCACGATGAGGATCTGCGCCAGTGCCTGCCTGGAGTCTCAAGGCGACGGACAACCCCGGGCGACGGTCACACTCTCTCACTCTCTGTCTCCTTCCTCAGTCTTAGGGGATGTCGTGTCGTGAACGACCGGTACCATAGCCCTATAATAGCTTTTCTTCGCTCTTTCCTTCAACGTTGTCTATAGAACATGCACTCAACCGATTCCCCTATCCCGGATGAGAGTTAGTGCTGGCGGCATTGAGGAAGGTCCGGATGAATCTGGACGGTTCTCCGGCACCACACAAAGTCCGGTCTACCCCTGCCTGGCATCGTTTCGTGCACCCTCCTCGACATCCTTGCGACCAGGATCGCGTGATTCCTGCAATCGGAACGCCATGACAACAGAACTTCCTGGAATGTCCATAAACCTGACATCCTCCGCTTGCTCGCTGTGCAGGACCTGCTGAAGCAAAGCCTGCTACCTTTCTCGGGAATGACAGTCAATACTCAATCCATCGGCAGAAACGCTGATCCTGGTGCATGTTCGACAGCGCAAGCAGCGTGCGAACGCCGCCGCTGGCCGCGACAATCTTCCTCAACAGCCGACGTCGCCCTCACTCTCAAGAAGCTAGAAACTAGCCCCGGTATCAACCATGAACCATGAATCACAGACACCTAAAGCTCTAAACCCATATATCGCCGCAGTCTCCGAAGCCGTGAAGATTGAAAGGAGGGCTACTTCCCCACTGCAGTATAGCAGCAAACCGCCAGCAGAGTTCGCCACAAAGACAAATATATGCGAACATACATGCATGCATGCATGCATACATACATCCATGCATGCATGCATACATACATACAGACATACATGCAGACATACAGACATACGGACATACACACGCAAGGACAGACAGACAGAGACAGAGACAGAGACAGAGACAGGAAGGGAGAGGGAGACGGAGACAGTGACAAGGGGGCCCGAACAAGCACGGGCAGCAGAAGACTGAAGACATTCCGCGCCTCTCTTGCTGGTCGGAGCAGAGAAGCTTCAAGGAATCTGCGATGAGTGCCTGGAGACAGGGCGTGCCCGGCTGCTGGGCCTTTCTTAGGCTGAGGCCTCGATCCCGACTAGTGTTCACAATGATCATGCTGACGGAGCGATCTGTGCTTGGACCTGGACTGGGCTCCAATTCTCAACACCCTTTCGCAGGCTCTTCTGTGCCTTCGTCTGCATGGAGCCCGACACACAGCGGCAGAGCTTGGCCACCAGGGGCGCTGCACCGCCAGCCTCGCCTACGGCGCCAAGAGCTTCAATGCTTGGACAGCGACTGCCAGGGCGGCTTCCCATGATACGAGATGATGTGAGGGGTAGGACTTTCGCACCCTGGTCTTGCGACGGCAGGACCGCGACGACAAGATGCACGCCCGTTGCCAGAGTTCCGGATATGACTGCCTCGCTCCAGGCACCAGGTGCGGAAGCGCTGGGCCAGCTGGGCAGCACCGGGATCCACCTGCGCAACATGTCCCATTCTGGGAGAAATGAGGAGGCTCATGACTCCTATGGCATCAGAGGAGGCGCAGAGTGGCTCTTCGCGGGCTCTTGAGCTGTCAGCGATGTCCGCACTTTTGTGCTCTTCGTGCCTCGCCCGAGCGCGTTGGCCTGGCAGATCCAGAAAACAAGAGACGAGATGTCTGCAAAGTTCAGAGCCCACAGCCGCATCGCGCGCTTCACAGCCCGTCTCGGAAGCTCGGGGACACCCTTTGCTAAGCCACTCTTTTACCGCCTTGACTGTTCCGGTAGGCCTTGCTTCTGCCGGCATTCGCTCGTAGAACTCCTCGAGCGCCTCCACCAGGGTTTCTCGAAAATATTTGTCAAATGCTTCCTCCCACGTCAGAGGAGGTCCTTACAGATGACGTATATCTCGGGTTGACACATCAGACGTGAAATATCATACCCATGATACTGTCAAGAGTTAGGATATGCGCCCCTGCGGAAAAGGCTCTTTGGGCCTTGAAGTCTTCACCACTGAGCTCATCGATCATCGGATTGCCTCTTCGGGACAAAGGCTGACTGCAGGGCCCGGGAACACGGGAGTTTGCAGAATCTCAACCCGAGGTCCGACTCTCACAGCTTCACGGCTTCAACAGACCCCAAGCCCCCCCCCTGCATTTTATCCAAGAACTCGAAGTCCCAACAAGCCCTCTCAGGGCTCCGATTGGCATGCGTGGGGCTCCCGGCCCGTCTTGATGCGGACACGGTCCTCCCGCGACCTGAGAGCCAAGCTGGCATCTTTCCCCACCCACCCACCTACCAACCTAGCTTCCTGCCTACCTAGCTTCTACCCACCGTATCCATAAATGAAGAGTGAGAGAATGAGTGAAAGAGAACCAGAACAAGAGAGAGCAAGCGAACGAGCGACAGAGACTCGTAACAGTTATAACACCTTGCCAAAAAAACCCACGCGCGACCTGGACCCGAACACGTCTCAGCTATGTGGATGCCTGATACGGCCTCTGAATCTTGACGACCCCCGAGAAAGCTGAATACGTCCGGGATCGCATCGTTCAACGCAGCTTTAGTAAAGTCATACTACCCTTCAGGCAAAAAGCATCACCGAGTATCAACAGCGAAAGGTGATAATGGCTGTAGAAACCCAAGAAATGCATCGCCAACCCGCCAATCCGTTCCGGCAAGCCTGCACAGGTTGTGGACGAGCGAGGCGAAATGGAAGCCCACTGCCGGGTCCTCGCCCAAGTCCTGGGGCTCTGCATAATGATGTTGGCCATGAGAATAATATTGAGATATACATATATATATATATATATTTGTTTCTTTATTTATGTATGTATGTATGTGTATATATATATATATATGTAACTAATATGAACGTGATATTGACGGCGGCCATGCTGATAATGAAAATCATTGCGAACGGGGTGGTGATGACAATGATGACGATGGCGATGATGACGATGATAATGATGATGATGATGATGATGCGAACGATAATGAAATGACGACGAAGATGAACATGACGATGATGGCCTTGGTGGTGAAATGCGGCGATGATGTGATGGTGACCATGATGATGCTGACTGCGGCATGGCGAAGATGGCGAGCCTGACTGATGGGCTGCCCGCCTCTCGTCCAATTTCAGGAAGGGAGGGTTTCGGTTTTGGCAGTGTTTGTATTTTTCTGTTTTTTTGCTGGTAGTTCTCGCTTTCGTGCCTTTACCAACTCCCCGCATCCCGTTATTTGCAGCAACTGGTGCAACATCTGGTCGCTGCCTCCTATTCTTTACACACGAAACTCGCTGCGCAAACTTTTTGCTGTGATGCGGTGCATCGTTTTCGTCAATTACAGCGGGTTCTACCTGCTGGAGGCATGACTCCTGGTAAATACCACGATGCGGAGCACGCCTCTTGCTTCTGGAAAGCCTTGAATCGCAGCAATACTTGGGGAAACGGTTTAGGGCCATTTAGGATCTTCCGCGAGCCAAAGGGGCCAAACAAAAGTCCGGTGTTCGCAAAACGCGCGAGGAAACCCTTGTTTTGACTACAACCCAGGATCAACCACAAGGAACAGCAGAGTCAAACACAGTCGAGTGTAGCCGTAGCGCTGACTGCCGTAGAATTCTTGGGCTGCCACACATGGCTTCTTGCAGGCAGAGCCCTGGCCACAAATCACCAAGCAAATAGATACAATTTACACATGTCGGTTCAAATTTCTTTTCCCCTGCAGCAAGCTTGTCGCCAGTCAAGGATCATTGTCCTTTCTGGGTTCAGGACGTTGCCTGTTGCCTGTTGCTGCACTCAGAACGCACAAGGCGGCGGAGGTGGCGAGAGAGGTGGGGGAGGCGGTGGCAAGGCTGGGGGGGCTGGCCTCATCAACCGACAGGTCCCCAGAACCTCTTGCAATGATGCTGCCAGCAAGCCAGGCATTGCACCGCGTGTTGGCTTGAGTAATTGTGGCAAATGGTGCCCAGGCAACGTGACATCGAGTTTGTCCACGTCCTCAGCTTTATGTAGTTGAGAAATCGGTTGCGGTTAGTACCTTGCGGTTAGTACCGAAAATGGAAATTGATTACAGGCGGCCCTCTCTTAATTATCGCCCAGCCAGATCATCTAATGACGATGGCAAAAACCGAGTTACGCAAGCAGCTCACGATGTAATTGGGCTTGAGTCTTAGACCAAGAACCTCAAATCCACAACCCCAATAGCCAGCCTTGGCAAGACTCAGGCAAGCCCATGAATTAGCCATCAAGTCGTCTCCTCATGGCTGGCAGTGATTACCATCACTTTTCCACAGCTACTTGTTGGGTGAGAGAGTTTCACATCCAGATAAACATACTCAACCATATGCTTGGTCCAAGTACCCGCAAACAGCACGAATGACTCTTGGCAGGAGAAGTTTAAAAGTTAAACTTGAAACTTACAGAAGCATTCAGCAAGAGTTGGGCACAAAAGAAAGAACATACAGACAAACAAACAGAACCTGTATTAAGCATAAAAGTAAACAAGCAAAAGGAGGTGGAAAGAGGTATATGCAACAAGCTCGAGAGACAAGTAGGGTTTAGTTTTACAGCTAAGCTCAGAATGATTCAAAAAAGAATGGCATGGATCTTTTCGCAATGCAGTCACACCCCACTATCCAGCCAGGTTCGATCCATGCCTCCTTTTGTCCTCCTCGCACTGCCAATATCGATGAAAAACCAAAAAGCAGCACTAGCAAGTGGTGGCTTTTGATCATCAATGGGCGAATACTTGTCATCAACTTTCTGCCCATGGGTGACAAGTGCGACTGAGCCTCTGCCATCGTGGCCACACTCCACAAGAACATCCCTGCCACAAAGCTGTTCACGTGCCAAGCAGGCGCCTCCAATGCCTGTAATCGTTGCCTCGAGGCCAAGGCTTGCAGTCTCTGGCAATGATTCAATGTGTAATTTGCTTCATGGATAGTTGATGGGTTGTAACGATTGATTAAGGATTTCTGCTGGCACAAACATCCTAAAGTTCTAAAGAATCTCACACCGATCTGCATCTAAGTCGCATGCGTTGGGGCCCTCCCTGTCGTAAACCAGGAGGGAGTGACCACAAGCGGCCAGCATTCCTGAGTAATCGGGCTTTTTGGTGCCCCAGCAAAGGTCTGCAGCCTGGATGGCGGCTTTCAGTATTATCCTTGCGCTCCGCTGGTCCTGACCCACCCTCCAGGCTTAAACAAACATCCATGCGGCGAAGACAAAGTAAAACAGTTCACACGGTACATGTCTCGCCAACAGTCAGCCGACACCTGCACAACGCATGGGCGGCAAGTGCTGCCTAGGTAGGAGTTCGGTGGTGATGCCAACATCTTCTTCCCACATTTTGATTAAACTCTGAACGAAGGCTTTCCCGCTCTCCTCTCTCGATATCGCTCTCTCTCTCTCTCCCTCCCCCTCCCTTTCTCTTTCTCTTTCTCTTTCTCTTTCTCTTTCTCTTTCTCTTTCTCTTTCTCTTTCTCTTTCTCTGTCTCTGTCTCTTTCTCTTTCTCTTTCTCTGTCTCTGTCTCTGTCTCTGTCTCTTTCTCTTTCTCTTTCTCTTTCTCTTTCTCTTTCTCTTTCTCTTTCTCTTTCTCTTTCTCTTTCTCTTTCTCTTTCTCTTTCTCTTTCTCTCTCTCTCTCTCTCTCTCTCTCTCGCTCTCTCTCTCTCTCTCTCTCTCCATGTTTGTCTTGTTTGATGGATACCCAGGTGCTGTCCCGAACTTGCTCAAGCGAGGCACTCACACGGCCCCATGAAGATGTCTAAGAAGGTGACATGGCCCTGCCGGTTGATGAAAACGTCGTTTTGGTGGACATCCCACATGATGAAGCCCACGCTGGCCAAGTAGCGCACGACAGAGACGACTTGCGAAGCCACGTGCAAGCAACAAAAAAGTCATACCAAGTCACATAATGCTATCCAAGAAATTTCTTGGAAACCGCCGTCGTATTGGTGCCAGGACCGCTGGCGCTACTGCGTACTGAAACGTGCAAGGCGGTGCACTACAGAAATGTTTCAATCTAACAGCCCGGTTTTTGAACAGAGCGCGGTGTGACACAGTCATTTGATCAACTTCTCCAATCCGCATTCCCAAATGCGCCAATCATGCTAGCGAGCCTGGCAACGGACCACCATGTCCAGTCCAATTTGGCGCAAAGAGTCGTTCCAGGGCTCGCCATCCGCGATCGACCACATGGTTGCTGCGGCAATGCATTCAACAGGTTTCACCAGATTGGGATGGCCCAATCTGGCGTGCCCAGACTGCTCAAGAAACATGTTGAAAAGGTATCTTTTTTGTAATGTCTGCAGCATATCACCGTGATTTGAGAAGAAGAACTCAGAGCGCCCTACCCCAGCTTTTCATTTACCAATACATGACACGTAGCTAGGGATATCGAAGTTGTACGCCAGCAGCGATCTTAATGGTCAACAAAAAGTTCATTGGCTGACCTACCTACCCGCACACACGCATTGCAGCAGCAACTTAAGGCCAACTGCAACACAGAAAACCTCCCACAAGAAAAGCCTAAACAAACAGAAGATCCAGAAAGATGGCCAAAGGTAAGAAGATCCAGACAAGATCCAGAAGATTTTGCAAACTCTCAGAAGGTGGCGGCGCTGCTTCCACGTGGCCATTAAACCAGCCGGCGAAAACACACTATAGCGGACTATAGCGACTGCAATTAACACGAAGTTTGTCTGCTAACTACTAACAGCTGCAACAAACATCACCACGTTCTTCCGACGTGGTGGGGGAAACCCCCACCACGTCCCCTAAACAGTCTTAGTTAATTTCAGGTTTGGGCTGAAATAGTTTGGACCTTAGGTGTCAGGAGGTCAGTTGAAATTTCAATGACGTGGGTCTTCGGGGGAGGTAAGGTCGGATTGCTGACACAAGCCGCAGTCGGAGTTGCAATCGTTCTTTCTCGTGCAGCTGTCTGGGCTGAGTCCCCCGTGTATGTGTCTCCTTTGTACAAATCTGCACTGCAAAGTGCAGCTTTGCTCCCCATTTCCCTGCTGGCAAAAAGCTGTCAAGGTTTAAAGCCTTGTGAGTGGCCGTGAACATATCTCACTGTGGAAAGTCGGGAGGTACTTCCACATTGCCTCCGCACAGAAACTTCAAGAATTTATGTCGTTATAGGCGCGGGCCAGGCGCAATGCTGGAAAACTTACTGCACACCTTGTGTGAGAACTCTCGGCTGGAGCCATCGAACTTTTCTGGAAGTACCTCAATACATATATACATACATACATACATACATACAAGCATATATACATACATGTATATATTTTTTTATGCATATGTGCTACTCCGCAAATAACCTACCTATATGGTGTGTTTCTCTTCGTACAACCGGGCATCTACACGTGCAGTGCAAACTCAAAGAGGCAACCAAAGATGAATGCGGCTATGACACCAGATGTGGAGCTGGTATTTCAGGACATCGTTTTGCTACTGTCCTACTGTTCGGCTGTTCTGAGAGCATGGAATGGAACTGTTACAGATTTGACCGTTTGCTGTATTGTTCAAGCTGGGAAAACACATCATGAGCATCGACGTGAACATGGACAGACTACAAAGAGTCTATGAGACAGATACGAGCATCCTTTGACGTGTAAGCAACCGTCCTTCAGCAATGCATACTTGTCAGAAGCGGTGATGCAACTAATACTGTGCATGTGAGTGTGCTTTGGTATGTATGTGTGCTAAAAGTGTAGCCATTGTTGACGTGTCCGAACGGATGACTCAAATGTCTCAAACTCTGCGTTTACTGCTGTTGTTGGTGATTTTTCAAAAGCAGAAAACATCGGCAACACCACTAAAGGAAACATACAAATCATGACTGTCAAACTCTCTCCCTTTGGCTGGTGTTACCCCTGCATATAAATTGAAAATATCATGGTTGTTCTGGAGTTTATGGTTTTTCCAATGGTTCCATCATTCAGAAGCAGAAAAGATTGGAAAACACAATAAAAATGAAAGCCGTGATTGTCAAACTATCTCCTTTGGGTGGTGTCACGCCCGCAGAAGTCCAGAAACATTGTTTTTTCCACTGTTTTCAGCTCCGTCTAAATAAGTTTATTGGCTTTTCCATGTTTCTTTTTCCCTGTGGACAATTTTAATTGGTTTTCCAATGTTTCAGGATCCGTCTTTGCCACTGTTATTCGTATTTCTCGTGCTTTCGCCTCCGTGTTTGAAAGTTTCGTTGGCGTTTCCAATGTTTCCCCTTTGTCAGAAGCAGGAAACATTGGCAAAACCAACAAAGAAAACAACTTATCTCGTCCGGTTGGTGTTACGCCTGTAGATAGTTTCAAAATCATATTAGTTGTTGATGTATCCACTGTATTCTGCTTCTAATTCACGGTACTTCATATGTTTATTGCCTTTCCCATTATGCAGTTAGAGCGTGTAGTATGATTGCTGCTGGTGTTTTTCAGACTTGAGGTGGGTGTGCATGTTATGTGTGTTCACATGCTGTGCGTGTTCGAACTGCTTCTGAGCCCCTCTGAGCACGAACTCGTCGCGGTGCAGCTAGTTCCGTGACAGAAGAACGAAATAGGCAGATACATGTGGGGAATAAAACACACAATAAACTGCATACTATATACCACATATTGTATACTATATGCAGTGTACAATAATATGATATGATATAGATCATGTAGTATCTGGCATATAGCATATAGTATACAGTATATAGTCTACATGGTGCACGGTGTATAGCTTATGGTACATAGTACCAATATATAATACATAGTACATAAGACGAGGTACATAGTACATAATACATATATATATACACACACACCGCGAGTATACATGTGTGTGTAACTAACTATATATATATAGATAGATAGATATGAGTCACGCCTGCAGCACGTCAAACTCTCGAACAGTGTGCACCGCACCACAGCGGGAGACTTGCGCAGAGAGCACCTTGTGCAAGTAGTAGGACGCAGAGATCAGATTCGCACCATTTGCTGCAAATAATGGGATGCAGGGAGTTGGCAAAGGCACGAAAGCGAGAACAACCAGCCAAGAAAACAAACGCCAAAAACAGAACCGATCATAAATATCCCCTCCATTTCAGGACCTTCAGGGAGCCCTTTCTAGGCCGTCTTCTCTTCACGTAACGCTGTGAGGAAGAGAGCCCGGTGACCGGTGGCTCCTCCTCCTTCGCCAAGGCCTGCAAGGCACCGAGCGTCTTCTTCGACGCAATGAGCCGCTCCTAGCCAGAGAAGGCCAGGATGGGAGCTTCTGGGGGGCTCCAGGGTTTCAGGTTCTAGGACCTGGGGACCTGTGAAGGGACCTGCTCCTCTACTTTCACGCCCTTCTGCTTCAGATGTGTAGAAGCCGGCGGGGGGCTGCGCGTCCTTGAACTCGCCATGGATGGCCAGAACGGCGAAGCTTTCGTACAAGCCAGCGCAGAGCCTGCGCGCCTGAGAGCTGGCAGGGTTTTCATGCCTTTACCATGCGGTGTCTGTCAGAGAACCCGCCTGCCGCTGCTGTTCGTGCGTCTGGGCGGTGCGAGCTCCTGAGATTACAAAGACTAGGCAGCTTTGAGAAGTTGTGAAGATGCTGTGTCTCGCCAGAATTGACTCCCACACCATCCTCGTCGGTACTGGCTAACTTCTGCCAGATCATCTAGATCAATTTAGCCTTGGCACTCTCGCCAGCCACGTCCACAGCAAAGCGGAGCTCCATCATGAAGTCCACCCGATCCTTGGAAAAAACCAGGCCCAACACAAGGCCCAGAGCAGCCTCCGAATATCTGTCATTAAATCACTACAGAGGACTACGAAGTCTCGGTTTCGCCGCTGCATCCAGAGCGTCGAAGATCTCGTCTCGGACGTCCTTGTTGTGAGCGGCCATGATTGCCAGCACGGCAACCTCATTTCCGGAACAGCAGCCGTGCTGCCACAGCCGGGAACGCGATACTCACAAGCACGGAGGTTGCGGACAATCGACATTGCATCATGACCACAGGGTGGAAATCACGACGAAGACGACGATGATAACATTGTAGTGGTGGTGTTTGTGGTGAGCATCATAATTCAGTCCAGCAGCCAGCTTTGCATCTACCAGCTCACGACGAATTCCACGATCGGTGTTGCTGAGAGCATTGAGAATCACGTCAATGCCTTGCGATTGCTCTTCTTCCAGACCAGGCTTAGGATTAGGTTCTGCATTGATGCAGCTGGAACCTGCAGTGAGCATCTGGCCCCAAGGATCGCAGTTATTTCAAAGGCTTCACGCCCGCCTCCTCCCTCGATCCATCTCTGTCTCGTCCGGGAGTCGCTGGCCTTCGAGAAGTCTTGGTCAAGAGCTGCCGCCACGGTCCATAATTGGATTGGTGTGAACAAACTCAGATGCAGCTGTAGGTAGATACAGGCTATGCATGTATGGTTGATAGAGTGTATACGTGTATGTGCATACATCTGATATATATATATATATATATACATGTCGATGTAGACGCGATCCATCGAGCGCCAGACTGCGAGCAGCAAGCACTCCGCCGCGTGGCCCTGGGACTCGCGTCCTTCGGGGCCTGGCATGCACGAGTTGCTCCTCTGTCATCGGTGCCATACATGCTAGCATACTGCCGATGCTCTGATTACGGTTGTCGCAGAATCATGCTGGTTATCATTTCTGCTGCTCTAGCAAGAACGGCGGCAAGACCTGTGAGCATCATGACTACAAAAATCATGATCGTTAGCATTGTGCCACATCCTTCTGCCGATGTAGTACTTTGGTGCTGTCCTGCACATATTGCACTTGTCATAGTCCTGGTGCACGCATGACTATAACTCCTCCCTGGCTTTGCTACACCAAGGACTGTGCCTGTTGCTGCTTTCCCCGTCATGTGGCTGTGGTTGTCGATGTGGCTGCCGGCAGTGCCGCTACAGGTGCCAGAGACTTGCTCCTGTTGTTGACGCCGCTGTTGCTCTTAGTGCTGCTCATGTTCTGTTGTCAGAATCACAAATCAACTATCACATGCTGTACCCTTCCTGACCCAGAAGAAGGCTGTGCCTGGAACGGGCCGGGCCAATGCATTGAGCACCGCAGACAAAGGCACGGCCGACATCTGCAGAATCAGCGCTGCATCCTCCATTCGATCACACCGGGAAGACAAAATACAAACTGATGGATAAACACTTGGACAGCAAAACACATGAACAAATACATGTTATGCATAACACCGTCGGTGTAGTATAGAGAAAAGAAGCTTGTATATGTATATTACTATAGTAATGTACGTGTACGTGTATGTATGTACACGTATGCATCTGCATGTATATGTATGTGTATGTCTGTATATGGACAAGTCCATTTGTATGAAATGTATGTATATGTATGTATATGTATGTATATGTATGTGTATGTCTGGATATGTGAAAATGGATTAATATATATATATATATATATATATGTATGTATGTATATATATATATGCTTAGAGATAGAAACAGGGATACAGTTACAGATGCAAACACAGCTACAGTGCTACAGATACAGATAGGGGTACGCATACTGCTACTGATACTCATGTTGTGATGTATGACATGGTGTTAGGGAACCACTGGGGCACTTCAATCGCTGGATGCCTTTGCCCTGGAGGCCAGCAGGCAGGCAAGGCCCGCAAGGCCGTTGCGCAGCAGCGAGGCTTCCTCCACGCTGGCCGTTTAAAGACTCAGGTGCAGATTTCTGCTGTAAGGATACGTGGCAAGCGTGCACCCCAGTACATCTCCTTTCCAGCACTCCCGTGCCGGGGCCTGGGATTGGAGGAAAGGCTCCAGCAGTCGCAAGCCGACTCCCGGCACATCCACCTGCGCAGCCAGGCACCGTCATGGGAGCCACCCCTTTGCCCGAAAAGACGCGCAAGGCCATGATCTGACAAAGTCATCTCATCTGCTAGGATTTGGATCGCCGAAACCCTAGGCACGACCCCGTAAAACGCATCTCGACGCTTCCGGAAGAAACCCCTCCTGAAGCTCCCTTGGCCGATCGTCGTTGTCGGCCAGCAGTGTGAAGACCTTCCAAAAGATCCTACACTGTCCTACACTTCAAGTTCCTCCAGCTGCGCTAAAGCTCCGTTTGTACAGGAACTGCGCATAATGCCCCAGCGGATTCCCTAAACCCCAAACCCTAAAACCCTTAAATCGTAAACCCTGAATCCTAAACAGCAGTAGAAGGAACCGGAGTTGAAAGAATATTGAGCGAACAGCCAGAAGTTGACGAATCGGGCTTCGACCTGCAACTCGTCATGTTGCAGGTTATCCTGAGTGAGTGAGATACCGAGTCTGCTGGCAAGCTCAAACCTCACAATTGCAGCGTGTGTCTTGTGAGAGTCGCCAACTGCTTGCGGAGCTTTCTTTGCCACATTCGGCTTGAACCCAGCTTGCCAGGCTATTAGTCTGGCTTGACAAGCCCAATTTCCGCCTTGCTGGACAGAAAGACCGACCCTGCTTGGTGTGATCATGCGAAAACATTGGCAGACGTCTTGCTGTAAGGCATTGCAAGGAAACAGAAGCACCGTTAGCAACAGCAATCATCAACGATGAATATACAACGCCTGCCACGTGTCTCAGATCTGAAATATGCGACGCTCATTGACAACCCTACGCTCTCAACCTAATGAAAGCCCAAATCCCCTCGAGACTCAACCCCTAAACCCTGCAATCCCCAAACCCTGCACCCCCGCCCCCCTCAGACCCAGCCGGACCTCGGCAAGGAAGCCGTGAAGGAGCTCCTGGGACCAAAGAGCCGACCCAATCGAAAACCCCTTCCCATCTTGGGCTCAGAATGACCTTTAAAACCCTTGTTTCTGAGACTTTCTTGCGGTCGCTCCTCTTGGGGCTCCTCTTGGGGGGGGTTTGGGAGTCTACAGGTAGGGTTCAAAGGCTTCGGCCCGAAAGCCGAAGAACACAACAGGACTGAAAGAACTTGGATTTCCCTTTGCCACCGCCTTCTAGGAGGTGCTAAGCCGTAGTTGCATATACACGTACATATAGATGTATATGCCTGCAGGGCTCAGAAAACAGGCGACAGCGCCTGATTGCTGTAGCCCCAGGCCCCATGCCATGGCCCTACAGGGAAGGGGGGTCGCTCAGAAGCCACGGCAGAGGAGTTCGCGGCTGGCTTCAAGAAGACGGTGGCATTCCAGGTGCGCACCATCAAGCAGAGCAGAGGCTCGTCAGGTGGCCATGTTGAGCATTGGTATGGAGGACACGCTCGCATGCCACACAGTAGAGGAGTTTGGGACTGGTTTCATGAAGACGCTGGTGTTCCAGACTTGCGTTTTCAAGCAGAACAGGGGCTCGTCAACAGAGGGCATCTGGATCATCACACGGAAAGCTGGCATACATTGCACTTCACGTCATGTGATGGCGCTCATGGGCGAGTGTCACACACTGTGCAAGTTGGCCATGTTGAACACTGGTATGGACAACACACTCGCATACTACACGGTAGAGGAGTTTGCGGCTGACTCCAAGAAGACGGAGGCCTTGCAGGTGCGCGTCTTCAAGCAGAGCAGAGACTCGTCAAGCGAGGACATCCGCAAATCATGGAACTGAGAGCTGGCAACTCTGCAAGTCCTACGGAGAGGGATTCGGCACAGACGGCGAGGTGTCGGGTCTGACGACCCTGAGTCCGCATCCTGACTTAGCAAGTGATGTAACAGCGATGTTGTCTTTGAGTGTGGAGGTCCCGCAGCTTTCATGCTGTTCAGTGAGCACTGTCGCTGGTTTCAGGGCTTTTTGATGTCCGCAATATCACCTTGATGAAGGTGTTTTGACATCCTGGGTATATGAACTGTGTAGGGATTGCCTCATCCGATACCCATGAGGAAGATCCTGCACGTCTTAGGTCCGTTGCCGATTCTTTTAATTTGGATTGTACGTTGTCCAGTGCTTTGTTGGCCGACTACGGACTACAAAGCATGTAGGAAAGATCCCTCTGGGGACAGCCTGCTTGGCCACCACCGTCTGATGCTTTGATGGTAGCCTTTTGGTTTTGATCGGGGATGTGCTCCACAGAGATGGCTTTTGCGCACAGCCTGCCAGTTGACTCTTTGTGGTTCTTCCTCCGTTCTGTGCGATCGCTCAGATTACGCGCTACTGAGTAGGTCGTGAGCGCATACTGGGGATTTGCACATTTTAGAATTTGGCTGCATGTGGCGCGTTCACTGAACACAGGCCATCCGAAAGAAAGAAAGTATATGCCTGCTAACTAGTGTGCAGTACACATGTGAGTGCAATCGTCTTTCTGCGTGGTCGATTGTGTGTTGGCTTCATTGCTTGCGATTTACTCGTCTGTTTGTACATTCCGAATACATGTGCGTTGATATAGAACAGAGATGCGTCTCAGGTTTAGGGAGGTGCTGCTTGGAAGATCGCCGAATCGCTGGCTCCTGGTGATCCGTCACATTGAGGCCAACCTGCCAGCAGCCGCTTGGGCATCCCGACTACGAGTAATACTATGGCGTGCTAAAGCATACACTATAATCAATTATCCAGCGCAGTGCGCCACGGTACCCTAAAAGGGTGAGCCCCGTCTGGCTGACTGCCCACTGCGGCAAAGGCCGGCTCTGGGCCTCGAGGCATTGGCGCAGGCCTGGGTTGAAGACCACGGCCTTGCCTCAGGAGACGCTCAGGAGCTCCCCTAATCGTCTAATCCCTAAACGCCCTTAACCCACGAAGGCCTCTTTACGGTCGATTTCACTTCCAGGCTGCCTGAAGAGCCCTGCTGGCGGCGAGCATCAAAGATGGCGTTCAGCGACACCTCAGCCCGAAGAGACGGATGCTACGATTGAGAGCGATTTCTTGGCCCCGACTCGCACCATCACTACGCTCGCTGCCTCCCGGATGTTCACGATCGCGAGCATTGCTCTTGGGACTTTTTTGTAATCTGCACTGTCGCTGTTGTGATGAATGCTGCCGCCTGAAGAAACCTAGAAACCCCTCAAACAACAAACCCTCAAGCCCTGATTGAATTTCCTGACACCCTTCAAAGATTTGAAGCTTAAACCCCTGAACCTTTCGGAAATCCTTCAGTAACCCATAACGAAAGCAGTCATAGCAATCCACCTCTAGAACCAGAACCCCTCATCGTAACCTTCCACAGCCCTTCTGAGACGCCCTGCACCCCGTGTAGATTTCCTGACAACACCGCTGGGTCCGATGCCAGCGCGGCCTTGGAGACCTCGGCCTCGCGCGAGCCCCCAAAAAGACACACGGCTGTTTGTTAGACGGCTTCGAAAAGTGCCCTGTTCCCAGTGTAGTAGCAGTAGTAGTAGTAGTAGTAGTAGTAGTAGTAGTAGTAGTAGTAGGAGTAGTAGTAGGAGTAGTAGTAGTAGTAGTCGTCGTCGTGTTGGTAATTGTTGCTGTTGCTCTTGCTGCTGTTCTCGGGTGCTTGGCTCTTTTTGCTTCTTCAGTCTTGTTCTCTTTTACTGTTGGCCTCTCGCCTCGTCGACGTCCAGAGCCTCTGCCAGGAGCTCCAGGGCAGCCTCGGGTGCCAAGTGCGGCAGAATGCGGCAGACGGCGGGCGATCGTCGGGGCTACGCAGGGCCTGGCCTCGTCCTCGGGCTCCTGACCTCAAACACCCGTGCCAGAGATCCCAACGCACCGCGGACAGCACCTTCTCGTTTCAGAGAGTGCAACGTTGAAGCAGGCTGAGTCGGTGGCAGTAACTCAAGAGGAGGGCAAGCTGACTGAGCGATCCTGCAAAGAACTTGATCAACTGAAGATATGTGATGAACCAAAATCGCCCGATGAGGGGATGTGATTAAAATACATATCGGCCTAGAAGATGATGTAATGACGACGATTGCTGCTGATGACAACATCCTGCCTGACAATGCGGAATGTGCCGGATTCCCACAGTTTAGTGTTCTGATGTAGTACGACCCCACCTCTGCCTCCAGCGATGCCACTAATGCTCCTGCTCCTGTTGCTGCTCCAGTGGTGAGTGTCCTTACTCATTTTCTTCCTCCTCCTGATCCCGGTCATAATCCTGCGCCCTGCTTCTTGGCAAAGCATGGTCATCTTCACCACACGATCGTCAACACAGTCACCATCTGTATCCTCCTCTTTCTCACCATCATCAACGTCCGTCATCACTATCAACATCAAGACACCATTGCAGTCATCATTATGCATCACATCACATCAAATCGGATCGCATAGAACCCCGTCGCATCACAACGGACCGCATTGCATCGCTTCTCCTGAACATCGCCCGGCAACCATGTGCTTTCGTCAACCTCATCATCGTGCTCATCAGTAACTATTGACACCATCCTCACCCTCCTCTTCGTGCCGCTTCACAGCCGGCTGTGCTCCTACGATCCATCTGCGGGCGGGCCTCCATGGCCCCTGCAACGTTTCCCCAAGCGCCGAAGCAGGCCGTGGCCCTCCTCGCGCAGCGCCGCACGGAGCCGGGACCTTTCCACCCGCAGCACGTCAGAAGAGTAGGCAGGCATGTGTACACTATACACAGATGGCACGTGCCATGAACAACTCCGTCCATCTAAACTTACGTAGGTGTGTATATAATATACATAATGGCTATGTACACAACAGTTGCCTGTGGCATTAGATACAGGGACGCGTCTTGCTTTGCACTTGGACACCCCTGCTTGGAAACGGAGCGCTGTTTCGAGAAAAGCAGGCAGCAGAAACCACAATGTAGAAAAGGCGCAAATCCATAAACAGGAGCCGGAGAAGTCCAAGTCAATCATGTGGCGATCGGCAAAGGCACAAGTTTGCACAGGTCATGATCGGTCATGATGAAGTGATGAAGGCTCGAGGGAGCCTCGAATCAGCTGCCGCCGGGCTGGGCGTGTCCAGCTTGCCCCGCATCTGCATCCGTGCGTCTGCCGCCTCCGAAGGCTCTTCAAGCGAGGGCTAACGTTTAGGTTAGGCTTCAGAGGCTTTAGACTTTAGGGCAATTTTATTACATGTTGATCCGTAGGTACGAGTATATAGGAAAGCCTTGCCTCCAAGTCGTCGCGATCTCTGCCCGAGGCGATGAGGCAAAGACTTCGAAGGCACGCCTGGCCGCAGAGAACAGAAGACACGAGATGCCGGCAGAGTGGGCTGCAGGAGTGCGAGCCTGGCGGATCTCCGGCGATGTTTGCTCTGCGTCTCCCAAAGACAGCAAAGCCTTGGTGCAAGGTCCGGACGTCTCGGCGCTGTTTCGCAAATGTGGAAACGATGCCCGCGGGCAAAGCCTCCAGAACTCCATGGCTCAGCAGAGACGATGCCTGCAGCTTTGGGCCACTCAAGAGCAGCGCGGACTTGGCGCAATGCGGGGGGCCCCGCCTCTCCGCGCAAGACCGCCGCTCGAACTTTGTCGCAGGCGTCTCGCTGCTCCTCCTGCAGCTGACGTGAGGCTTCTCCGCGACGAGACAACGCCCAACGCTCCATGCACATCCGCCCCAACAAGTCACCGCGCACCTCCTGGGTCGTTTGTGCCCGGAGCGTCGCGGCCAGGCGCGCCGGGAGGCTTTGCTCCACAACTCGGCTTCAAAAACACTCTCAAAAAGGCTAAAACGCCGCGCCACTCTCTTCCAAGCCTTCATATATCGCAACAAAGGGCCTCCCTTTCAGAGCACGTCCACTTCTCCCTTTTTTGGGCCCGGGCTCCGGTCGCTCCTTCGGGAGATCGCCGCCCGGAGGCGCTGGGCCGATTCCACGGCCGGGCGGTTCCTTCTCTCTTGGAAAGGCAGAGCTCTTAGCTCTTCTTCTTCGTGAGGGAGTTTTCTCCGTGGGCTTTGCAGGAGGTTCAGGGCTGAGGACGTTTGGGGGGGTAAATTGCAGTCGACCTTTCAGGATGTTGGGGTTAAAAACGATCATGGGCTCCAAGGCTTACCGGGATGTGGGGCGGCTGCTACTGTACGTACTTTCATCAGGCGACTGTAGGATCTAAGGTTTCAAAGCCACTGGGTTACGGTCGCGCTGGATATCAACACACGGTAGTGTCCGCCTGCTTGCCCTGGACCCTGACCAACCTAATTCAAGATTTATCCAGCTTTCTTGGAACGGTCTTTAGTTTGGGGTGCGCCCTTCAAGGATACCTTCTGGCCATTTGGCGAGGGAAGGGAGGAGGAAAGTGTGTACAGCGTAAACCGTGAAGGTTTCAAGGGTTATGACGGTTATGAGACCTCTCCGCCTCGCACTGACTCACGTATACTACCCCTCTCGCCCGGCAGCTTCTCTGCAAACAGTCGCGGCCTTTTTTCATCCTCCTTCCTCCTCTTCCTCCGGCTCCAGTGCACGCACTTCCTCCGAGACGTTCTTGGCATCGAAGCCGAAGGTGAAGTCGCGGTCGCTCCTTTCCAACGTCGCCTCGGGGCCCAGCCTCGCCACCAAGTGCTTGTCGGAGCTCAGCTCACAGGTGGCTCCGCGCACCAACAGCGATCCCTGCTTGCTGGCCGCCTCGCGGCACAGAGCGATCTGCTCTTTCGTCGTCAGCAACGTCAGGATGCCCCCGGAAGAGTCGTGCAGCATGGCGCAAGGCCCGCCTCCGCCTCCCGGAACCTTCGCGCACCGCTCCTCGAACCAGCGCACGCGCACGCGGAGATTCACCGGAGATCCAAGGCCAAGTTTCAGGGCTCCGATCTGCTTGGCGCTGTCCCTGTACAAGGCAGCCTTCTGCTCCGGGGTGATGTCCTTGATCGCAAGGACAATCTTCCCCTTCTTGTGCCGCCAGCCGAACATGCCACCCCGCAGCCTGCGCAAGCGCTCGGCGGGCAAGGACTTGGAGCCAGCACGCAGCAGCCATCGGCACATGGCCCGGCAGCGCGAAAAGGGTGTCGCCACCTCGCTGTAGATGATCACGGGCTGGTCTTTCCGTTTCAGGACCTCCTTCACCCAGGGCCCAGCGACGCCGGCGAGACCGAAGTCCACAAACTCCCGCATGGGAATGTTGAAGGCCCCGTCAATGTGCTCGATCTCGAACTCAAAACGCTCCCGACAGTCGATAAACACAGCCTTATCCTCGGCGTGGAGCCGTAGACTCTCGGCCATGCCAGCCCACTTTACGTCATTCACATTGCCACCCGTGCCATCGGAGATCCACTTCTCGCCAATTTCCTCAAACTCCCCTCCCTCGATCTCCGCGGCCTGCTTCTCGATCTCCGGAACGTTGGCTTCCAGCCACCACTCGAAGCGCTCCTCCTCCTCCGCCTCCAGCTCGTACAAGCTTACCTCGTCCTCCTTGAGTTTGTTGAGGATGAAAAGCAAGCGCCACTGCTGCTTCTTGTCCATCAACGTCTCAAAAGCCCCATAGACCTTCCTGAAGCAGTCCACGGCCTGCGGGTGGCTGTTCTTATCCGGGTGGATGCCCACGCTGATCCGCCTGTAAGCCCTCTTGATCAGGCTCAAGTCACTCCCGTACCACTTCGCCTCCAAGTTCAAGACCTCGAACTCGTGCCTTGCGGCCAGGATGCGCTCCACGGCCTTGTCGTAGCAGTGCTTCGGATCGATCGAGAGAGAGTAGAGCGCCTCGCGCGCTGCCCGCTCCGCCTCGCCTCCGCCCAGCAAGACGATCGCCCCGTCCTCGGCGGCCTGGCGATCCTTTTCCACTTGATCCGGGTGCAACTCGAGGCTCTCGGGACCCAAAAGCCTCATGTGGGAGCCCTCGTTCAAGGCCCTTCCAGGCACGTAACCGCCCGTCAAGTTCATGACTTTCACGGAGTACTCGCCTCCCTCAAAAGCCATGATCTCCCCGATCTTCTCCTCCAACTCCGGGGCGCCCGGCGCGCTGCGGATGATCACCTTCTTCCCCACCTCGATGGCGGCGGCGCCGGGCCGGCGGTGGGCGAAGCCCGGGCCGCTCGGCACGGTGCCCGCGCCAAGACCGCCGCCCTGCGCGGTCTCCTGCCAGGCGTCAACGCCTTTGCGCTCAACGTCGGCTTCGATGTCCTCGAAGTCGAACATGCTCAAAAACCAAGACCAATCTCTGATGTGGCACTGCGCCGCGCTGCGCAGAGGCCGCTTGAGCCTACAGAGGATTTTGGGGTGACACTCCTCATGCCGGTGGCGGGAGAGATCCGGCAAGCGGTGGACCAAGATCTGACGAACGTTACGCCCTCGAAGCCACCCAAGCCCCCCCCCTCAACCTCACTTTCCCCAGGAGCAACTGCGAGGCGCACCCGGGATCCACGCGCGCCACGCGCGCAAAGTCCGAAAGGGCCTCCAAGTCACGTGCAGCGATGTGGACTGCACACTCTCACATCCAGACCACAGCGGCCACGCTAGAACTATCTAACTACTATGTCTCCACTCCGGCAACATCGATCCGTGTCCTGTCACGGGTGGGTGGCTACCAGTAATTCCCCTGTCAGCTTAGCTGTCACCTCCGTCTCGCGCCCGAGCTGCTCCAGGGCGGTGGCGCGGCGAAAGAGGGACCTCAGCAGCTCGAAGCAGCTGGAAACCTCAAAAGCTCTACTGGCAATTCAGCTTTGTTGAGCGCTTCAGAGGGATCCTGCCAGGTGACTTCACATGCTCCGGCAGCAACTCCAAACATGCATTGGCATCGTCCAGCCCCTTCTGGAAGTCACCTCAAAGGCAGAAACTTTCGGAGCGGCTTGGAAGCTCCCTTCTTCCCTCCCTAGAATGACGCCCCGTGTCTCCTCAAGGCAAGCTGCTCAGCTTGAGCCAGCACTGGCTCCGGTTCGCCAGAAGAAGCCTGAGGCAAAGCGGGAGCGGCGCAGCTCCACAGCCACTCAGAACTTCCCCAAGGTCCCTCGACCAAACTGCCGTTCACCACAGGGATGCTCTTCGGGCACCCAAGAACTTGTTCACACTTGTCCCCAGACTTCCGGTCCCGACCCTCTCTGATCCGGTGGGAAGTTCTCATCGCACTCGTCGAGGCCCTTGGTGTACCTGAGAAAAGCACGCTTACACTTCAGCGCCCGTCCATTCGACCACACTGCCCGGGCTTAGGAAGAGCCCCAAAAGCTCAGCCAGCGACTCCTCTGCGGCTTCGTGCCATTTCCCTTCCTTCTGGTACTGTAGGGGAAGTTTACGACAACAATAGCAAAGGTCCGCAAGGAAGGAGAACGGCCTTGCAGAACTGGTTTCCCGCTTCCTTCCGGGCCAGGGGACCCATGGCTCGGTCAGCGCGTCATCCGATCCGCTTCTGTCGCGTTAGCTGTGGGTGGGAACTCTACCAGGCTGGCTCAGGCTTTGTGGTAGGGATCGGGGATCGCAGTTTCTGGCAGGAAATGATGCAAACAGGAGCAGAATTGGAATAGGAGTAGAGGGGATATCCTGCTTGGGTGCCTGATTAGAGAAGCGCATCGCATCATCTCGTGAAGCTCAACCTCGCTGCTTTCGTTGTAGTGTGTCAGCCAAAAATGCTGCGAAGACAATTAGTTATGGAAACGCTGACCACTGCAAGGAGCCCGCCCCCGAAAGCTTCTGCTGAAGTTGGAGCCCGAGATCGAGATCAGATGACCCGAGGTCAGGGCACTTCCTCGCAGCTGGCTACGATGCGCCTCTGTCGCCGACGAGCTAGTGATGGCTCTTCACCGGCTGCTGCCTACTACCACAGCCGATCTTCGCAGTGCTTGGCTTGACGGAGGGCGCACCCGTAGCCGTCATCCGTGATCCGACGCACGAAGCCGCACTCGATCTCACCCTCCTCGCTCTTGCCTCCGAGCGACATGACGGAGCGGTCTCTCCGAGAGCGCGTCCGGTGGAACTTGGCGCTTGGCTCCCGGCCGATGCTGAACTCACACTTGTTCCTGTAACCCTCCAAACCTCTAGCCAAGGCAACGTGGAGACGGCTCAGACGGGGTCAGGCTTGGCGAGAGGCTTAGCGACTGAGGAAACTTGCTGAGTCCTCGGCTTTCCGCAGGAGTGCCGATGGGAGGGTCCAGCGGACACGCGCAGCCGATCGGCGCCTCGGATCGGATGCCACATGCGACAGCACTTCGGAACTCCGAACTCCTCAAGCCTCCTCTTGCCTTTTTCTGCCGAAATCCCACGAGGAGTCCGCACGTAAGGTCCCGGCCGAACAGGCCTGGCACGACGAGGAGCCCGAGGCCCGAGAACCCCACGCTCCGCTCCCGCGTCTGAAGATCTCTCGCTAAGAAGCAGGAGCAGGGGGCTTAGGCTTAGTAGTTTGGTGCTCGGTTTATTTTGCAGCGAAGCCTTGGACCACTCGAAGCTGGTCCAGGGTGGGGCCGTGAGGCTCAGGTCCTCCACAAGAGCCCAACACAACGGAGGTGCTGGTTCCCACAATCTTCTGGTCCAGGGCCTTGCACTTCTTGTCCACCTGCTTCGTGAAGGACCGCACCTGGGCAGCGCAGGGCACGCCACGGAAACTTCCACGGCCGAAGCTCGGGCCCTCGCAGCGGTCTTGATGTGAGTGCCTTTCATGCCTCGGGGAGATGCACAACGTGTCCAGCTTGACGAGTTGGGTCATGATCAGGACGAAAATTCGTCATTCTTATGGCCACCATGACAAAGATGCCTATAGTCACCGGTGACAGTGCTACAGTAGGATGTTCACTTTCTTTGCTTCGCAGGCCAGAGTCGCTGAGATCAAGGCTGAGCTGCGTCTCGTAGCTCCAGTCTATGAGAGGAGCCTCGGCAAAAGGATTCCTTGCAAAAACAGCAGCAGGAACAACCAGCAAGTCTGAAATGACAGCACTGCCAGGCCCAACACAACATTTCAATACAACGGAGATTGCAACCCCTACTGGCAAAATCAATGGCTATGCTACAGATGCCATGCGCAAATGAGAACGGACTCTCGATGACAACACAGCGACAGCAACAGCACGAGAAGATGTCCGTAACAAGCGACAGAAACAATATTTCAACGGCAAGCAGAACAATGCGAGACAACAAGACCGCACGGTAGCTGTAGTCAGCCTCGTAAGGATACTGGTAGAATACACTGATAATGATGTTTGAAAGCTGCTACTACAACAATTACTAGTACTCGCTCATGCAGTGATCATGCTTTCCGCCATGTGGGCTGCGGCGTACTATAAAGTACCAATGAAATGTGCTACTACAGTCGCAAGACCACCAGGCTCTCCGGCACTCTTCCGAAGCACGTCGCCAGGATCTGCGTTGCGATGCGAGGATTTCCACAGGTTGTGAGGGTGGGGGGTACGGGGTTCAGCTTAGACCGGGAATACGAAGATTTTCGCAGTCGAAAAAACACTGGCTAAGATCCTTTCCAGGTGCCATGTCAAATTGCCACCTTGGAGGGATACTTTCTCTGGACCAACCCTCATCTACTGCCCTGCATCCCGTGCCTTTGTTTTTCAGCTTCGCCGTCAGGTCTTTGAGGGTCGGAACGAACCCAGGCCTGAAGTTTGGCACCAGTAGCTTGAGAGCAGTAGGCAGAGGAGGAGCGGAACTGAGCAGTGACGGACCACGAGGGAACACGGCAACTGCAAAGATGGCGGGTCTCCGTCTCCCTATGTCCCCGTAAGAAGCTCGGACCGACGCCGGAATTCCTTGACCTCCTTGACCTTGATGACACAGGACATTCTGAGTCAGAACCGACAAGGCCCAGATGAACTCGGAAATCGACCTTCTGCCGCTTGGCCGGGCGCTCCTGGGTCACTTGGCAGAGAGCAGAAACCCCAAGGCTCCAAGAAGTTCATGGCCCGGCGGGTGCCCGGAGCGCCTCGTCGCTCTTCGGCTGGCTCTTCCGTGGAGCTCCCTCCTCGGACGAGCCACGAGCCGCAGATCTTGGGTTGGGAGATCCTCCGGCTGAGGTTGCGGACGTTTACCGAGACGCAGCACTTGAAGAGGAGCAAGCCATCCACGGCCTGGCTACGAACGCTCCTGACGAAGGTATAAAACCTTGTGAAACGACCGGCGACTGGGCCTCACGGAACTTCTTCTCGTGCTCTGGGAGGATAGTCACGAAAGCCTGGGAAAGGACCAACTCCAGCTGCAACTGACAAGTGTGACAACAAGGTTCTGCTTACGCTTGCTGTCACGAAGCTAATGTTTACACGAAGATAATGTGGACTTTCTGTTCCTTCGAAAGCAAAAACACTGGCTTCCCGTCAATCGCTTTTCTCCATAGCCTCACTAGGAAGTGTTGGTACAGTGGTGGGTTTTGCGCTGTTGTGATGACCAATCTCCGGATGAAGGGGTGACCCAGAGCAGGAGGAGCATTTCATGACACGGGTAACCTCTCCGGAGTCCCTCCAAAGTCGCCAAGCAGCATAGTTCCAGTTCGGCAGCTTGAAAACCTTTTGAAGTGGCACACCGCTGCTCTCAGCTAACCTGAGGAAGCAGAACTTCCGATGTTCGAGGCAGCTTCGAAACTCCGAGAACACGCCACGAAAGAGCATGCCAGAGAAACCGAGCCGTCACAAAGAAGCTAGCACAAGGGATACCTGCCTTCCTTCTTGCCAAGTGCTTGATTTGCGACGGCTTGTGTTTAGATTCGCTTCAACAATAGTCTTGATCATCCAAGAGCGACAACTTTAGGACTGTTGCCCTTCATGCTGCATGATTGCTACCAGCGCTCCACGAGCCAGGCCCACCCCCATCTTCGAAGCCCTTGCGGCTATGCTGCTGAAGTCTGGTCAAGACTGAACCCTTGTCCCACGAAACCTCTTCACCCACCGCTCAAACTCCCGGAAGCCTTTCCCCGACCCGACCACGGCGAAGCCGCGAAACCTCGAAACAAAGCCCCTAGAGCATCTAAAGGCTCTACTTGCAAAATTTCCAGTGAGAAGCTCATGATGATTTCGAAACAACAACAAACATCTCGCCCTTTCCGGGTGGCCCGGCCAGCGCTCAACTTTTGGACATGCCATCTTACCGAAATCCCGGCATTGCACGTGCCTGAGCGTTGAAGCTTCGGAGGGGTCGGGTTCAAGCAGGAGGTGTGGGGCTTTTGTGACGTTCTTAGACAAGCTCATAGAAGGTTTTGAATTGGGGTCTACTGGCTGAATGCACAAATAAGAGCACAGCAATTGCGGACACGAATAAGTATGACTATACGACATTACTGCCATCAAACCGTATTTTCTATTGATCCTCTGCACAGCAGGGCTGGAAGTAGAGCTTACAAAGTGTAGCGTACACAGCTGCTTTTGGTGGTTCAGAACGTCAGTGTGGAGGTTTTCAGATTCTTCCAAAAGGCATCCCAGGAACTTGGAAGACAGCGCTGCAAAATGAACAGTGTCACCTCGATGTGACATGATCGCACCTTACGCACTTCTAGATGTTAACCCTGAGTCAGCGAAGCGGGGAAACAGGATCGAGGATCACGGAGATCTAATCTAATGTCCTCTTCAGATCTACCGTTTGCTGTTATGAAACATATGCATGCAATCTGAGCCCCTGACAGACTCAGGCCCTCCTCCTGAAGCAATGGCGCCATGTTAGGGCTTGCGGGTTGAAGGCTTGGGATTTGGGGTTTATAGGTCTAGGATGTGGCGGGTTCACCCCCAACCCCTCTGCACCTTGTTTTGGCTATGTGCATCTTTTTCTGTTATCTGTGTCCTTTTGCTATCTATTGTTTTCTGAGCTTGGGTGGTAACTTGTAAAAACCTATAGAAACCAAAAAAAACTGTAGCAAACCAATAACAACCAATACAGCACCAATAAAACACAATGAAAACCAACGAAAGAAACGAAGGCTAATCACAATCCAATAAAGCCAATAGGCAACTGATGAAAACCAACAAGAATCATAAAACCATAGCAACCCAGGAAAAAAAACAGTTAGCATTGGCAAGAAATTCAGAAACCAACGAACACACGTAAATCCGATAAGACCAACAACAAGTCCACTAAAAAACAGAACGAAATTAGGCGAGGCCGGTTCATCAATATATCTTAGACACGCTCCCTCAATTGGCGATTCCGGTTCATCATATACCTTACATAGCGCCGCCTCATGTGGCGACTCCGGCTCATCATACATCTTCAACGCGCCCCCTTCATTTGGCGAATCCGGCTCATCATACATCTCAAAAACGCCCCCCCCCCCCCCCATTCGGCGATTCCGGCTCATCATATCTTAAACATGCCCTCTCATTGGCGCTTCCGGTTCATCATCGCTCGTTCTTTTGGTGATTCCGGTTCATCGTCATACATCTTAGATGCGCCCGTTCGTCCTGTATCTTAGACACGCCCCGTCATTTTGCGATTCCGGTTTCAACACGCCACCCTATCTGGTGATTCCCGATCATCATATATCTTGAGCTCGCCCCGTAACTTGGCGGATCCAGGTTCATCGTCATGAAGCTTAAACACGCCCCCTTAGTTGGCGATTGCAGTTCATCATATATCTTAAGCAGGCCCCGCCATCATCATATATCTTAAACACGCCCTCAGTTGGCGACTGCGGCTCAGAGATTCATCATGTATCTTCAGCACGCCCCCTCGTTTGGCGATTCCGGTTTGTCAGACATAATACGCCCCCTTCTTTGGCAGTACCAATTCATCATATATCTTCACATATCTCTAACACGCCAACTCATTCGGGATTGCGATTACATCTAAAACACATCCCCTCATTTTGCGATTGTGGTACACCCCCTCATTTGGCGATTCCGGTTCACCATGTAGCTTCAACACGCCCGTCATTTGGCGATTCCGGTTCCGGTTCATGATGTATCTTCAACACGCCCCGTCATTCGGCGATTCCGGTTCATCCCACATCTTAGACACGCCCCCTCATTTGGCGATTCCGGTTCATCATATATCTTAAACACGCCCCAAAATTTGGCGATTCCGGTTCATCATGTGTTTTCAACACGCCCCCCCCTTTTTGCGATTCCGGTACGTCATACATCTTAAACACCCCCTCATTTGGTGATACCGGTTAATCATGTATCTGGAACACCTCCCCTCGTTTGGCCCAGGTATCCTGGTTTCTCAATACCCGACTATTCCCTCGAAAACCCTTTTGCGACTGCTTGACTCTTGCGAGCCGTGGGGCCTTTCCAAGCCGGACGCTAGGCCCCGGAGTATGCCAAGCCGCTAACCAACTGGTGACACGAAGAAAGGTTTTCTTTTGTTGCAAGCCACCCAAAAAAAAACCTGGGGTGCTCTCTCTCGCTCAAGGTGGATTTGGCGCGTGGCCGCATAGCCAGCCAGCAGCGAACCGGAATTGCCAGACGAGAGGGCGTGTTGAAGTTATATGTGATGAACCGGGATCGCCTAATGAGGAAATGCGGTTGCCTTTGTAAGATTTAATGAACCGCAGGCGTCAAACGTTCTATTGCTTGTCGTATGTGCGGTTTTTTCTGGTTGTCCGTTGATGTTGCTTATTGGTTTTCTACTGGTTTCTACTGTTGTTGCAGTGGTCTCTACTTGCTGTCTTCTTGCTTCCATTGGTCTCTATTGGCTTTTCTGACTTTCAAACATTCCCATGTTTGTGAATGGCTTGATATTGGTTGCGTATGTTCTTAAGTTAACCTCAAGTCCGAAAATAAAGATGCAGAAAACGCAAAAAAAAGTGACAACGATAACGCGAAAAAGCAGGAAGCCATCCCGTCAGACATCCCACCAAAGCAACAGAAGAAGACACCGATAATGCAAAAGCATGACACAAAAGACATGGACCACCCCCGTACCCTCAAGGCGGCATGGCGATAATCTCAGCCCTAGGAGACGAGTCGGGTTTCCCAAGAGGCTGCTTCATAGACTGGGTATCACAAAAATCAGAAAGCGCTGGGGACGTCTCGGACCTCAGAGCGAAGCCGAATCCCTCGCTTGGGAAGTCCTGGGCCTCTGCCGCCGACGCGGCCGGCTCGGCCGGCTCGGCCGGCTCGGCCGGCGCGGCCGCGGGCTCCATGGCACCTGGGAGGGGATCACCCAATACGGCTGCCACGACTGCGACGACGGCTTTAAGGTGTACCACGGAACAATGAATACTGAAATACCTCAGAATCAGATCACCACCACCACCACCAAGCTTGCCGGCATGACAAAGCCCCTCAACCCCTTGCAGAACCCATTTGACACCCTGTCAAGATCCCAGTATTATCATCCAAGAAGTTCCAGGCCCCAGGCTGAGATTTCAATCCATGAGCCGGCCTTCAACACGGAACCTGGAGCTGTGGAACTCAGCGACTGTCTAGCCCTCTGCATCTACTTGTGTGTATACATATGAGGCAGATACGTATACAGATCTACATATATGTAAACAAACACATCTACATCTACATATATATATATAATAATAAAAAGCTTATAACATGTGTGATCTGTGAATCAGTCAGTCAGCCAATCAGTCCGCCAGTCAGTCAAGTCACTTTAGTCAAGCACCATTTGCTTATTCCGCTTACGTGTTCACTTGTCCACGTCGTCAATATTGACCTATTCACTTCAGCATTTGTTAATTATTTACATGCTTGTCTATGTATTTCTGGTTTGATTAATGAACTAGATAACTAGCCACCTGTTGGTTCATCTTATATATCACTAACCTGTTTTATCTAGTCACTTTGCCCGCTTGCGTATTTATGAATATTTCATTCCTGCATGACTCTTCTCGCATGGATCCATTTACGGACTTAGTCTGTTTTTATCTTAGATTATACGTTACGTCGTCGTACTTTGTTGGCTGTATTCCAACATGCAGCATGATATCAAATCAAATACCAGAGAAGCCATGGCCCATGGCACGATAGACCGGCAACTGCTGCTACGCGGACAAAGGAGCGTCCCGCTCAGGCAGTGACGGCGAGATTGAAGCTCACACACCGCAGCCAGAAAGCATGGCAGGTCTACGATGTTCGCATTGCTCGTCTGGGTGGCTTTGAGTGGACTGAGGTTACATTGAGTTGACTTCCTGCATTGCTCGGGTCAGGTTTCCGGCGTGGCGACATTGCATGCCTTTCACCGAAAGCTGAGAAGTCACGGAAAGGCATGCACGCAGGTACCAGTGGTCCCGGAATAGAGGCCTTGCCGGTGTGACCCTTCAGCCAACCCAAATGTCTAGTTCTGATGCTCCTCCGCGGTTTTTCATGCAAACAACTTCCCTTTGGGAAGCTCCAAAGCCAGGACGGCCGCTTTCTTCTCTGTCTGAAAGAGAAGCAGCTTCTTGCAAACGAATCTGTACCGGAGCATAATCATAACACATCAAAAAGTAGCAGAACACGACCCGACAAGCATGTAAACATTGTAGATGCAGAGGAAATATATGTGGCCGGCGGCCGGCATCACCGGCTCATGGTTCGTCGGCTCGATTTCTACACGTTGACGCAAGTCTGCCCTCCCCGGGCTTCACCTGCGAGCACTTTGCCCTTTGAGGTGCACTTCGAATCAGAAGCCAGGCTGAAGGCAGCACAATGCATCGGCCATGCATCTTATGCAAGGCAGCATGCCACATTCCCGCGCCATGGTGCGCAGACAGGCGAAAGCCTTCGAGGCTTCTCAGGTAAACACCGCTGCTCGAAGGACCTGCAGCAGCCTTGCACCTTCTTCTCAGGTGAAAGAGATCGGTGAGTAGGCTCCAAAAACGATCATCTACTAGTAGTAATACTGTATGTTTCTGGTGTTGGCTTCTGCCACCTTCTGTGGGATCCCAGGCGAGCAGGGCATGAGATTTGCTCAGACTGGCTCCAAGCCGTCCAGCTCCTTGCAGCAGGATTTAGCTTGCTTCAGGGTTTTTGTTGCTTAGGGTTTCGGAGGATGCTCATAAAAGATCATCCACCAGTCTGGAAGGCTCTTGGTGTATGAGGTCTTGTGCATACACGATCAGACTCTCCTATAAAGTACTCTAGACCACGATGCAACAATCTGCAAGTATGCAACATGTACCATGCTATGAGTCGTTGCATCTCAGGTTTTCGATCCTGTATGCTGCGATGCTCGGTTCATCTTAAGGAATCAATGGCCCTTGAGAAATATTCCTCGACCTGCGATAGGGATCCTTGGACACTCTTTCTGAACAGATATTTCAGCCTGAGTGTGCTGCGATCGAGCCTCCCGCAACAAGTGCCCCCCGCCCTTTCCTCGTCAAACGCCTGGAGCTGGCGGATCCTCAGAGGAAGACACCAAGTACATGCAAGCAAGGCCAGGGCGCTCCGGTGAGCATCCTTTGTTGCCCGGCGCCCGCAGGATTTGGGGATTTGCAGGGCCTTCAGCCTTTCCTGTGCTGTTGGACTGAAGGGCGCAGGGCTTCCGAAGTGCGGATTCGTTTGGAGGCTCGAGCTACTGGGATGCAGAGAAGCAGATCTGCGCCGAGGAGCTTCGCCGTCGTCGTTGATCAGCTGAGGCTTCAGAGGAACCTGGTGGAGAGTGAAGACTACGACTTAACATTTCTTGCTTGCCCGGGGCATCTGAGCTGTTCTCGGACTGTAGCATGTCGCGGTGGCCCTAGAACTGCTCTCCAGTGTGCAGGCTCGCCACGCCGGAGGGCGCCGGTGACATCAGCGGCTTCGAGAAGGGAGGATCCGGGAGCGGCGGCGGCTGATCCCGCTCCTCTTCTTCCTGGACCTTTCAAAGCAAATCTTGAAATCCATCTTCCGCTCCATCTGCCCTGCCGGCCCAGCCGGCCCTGCCGGCCCTGCCGGCCCTGCCCTCAAGCCCTCAACCCCTCCATACCAGGCTTTGAGTCTTCGCCTGCATCGCCTGCATCATCAAGTCCGCTTCGGGAGCCGACAGGCACGTGGAGCCGCTGTTTCGGCGGCGCATCAGCAGCTCCGAATGCAGCACCTAAAGCAGCACAGAGAACCACACCAAAATCTGACGGCAACGCGGCAGTGATGGCCCCCATGCGCGAGTTTTTAGGCTCAGCTGTCCGAGTCGCCGCCAGTTGGCTGCGGACCGCAGAGAGGCTCTCTTCCTGCTCCTGAAAGCTTTTCTTCCGGAGACTGTGTTCAGGCTCTCGGCACGTGTCGAGGCTTCGAGAGATCTTTTCTAAAGTTCCATGGACTTCGCGCTTGTCTTCTTTCTCCTCCTTCAGCTCCGCAACCTTGTCGTAGCAAGCCTGTAAGACACAGGGGAAGTGATATTTCTGTGATTGTGGTACGGCTTTGTAGAAGCGACTATGACTAGGACAATCAAGACGACCAAGACGGATGTGACCACTGGGGACTGACATGCTGCCGACGACAACTACTCCTGGCGGCACTGAAGCTGGTGCTCACTTCTGATTCACTTATCTCAACCCGATATGCCCCCCATTTGTTGAAAACCTCCCGGCCTTGCTCGCCAGGAGGCCAGCCACGACGTCGCTCTTGTTGATCTCGCCGCGGATTTTCAAGAGGCCGTGGACCTCAGGATGCAGCTGTTCCGCCCCAAACTCAAAAACGTGATGCTGGCAGCCGCGACTGGAAGAGAAACGGACCATGAACGAACCTCATCCAATTTTGCATTCTCAAACGCGCTGCTTCATCATGGTCTTGATCCTGCTCTTCATCTCCATCACCGACATGATTGCTGTCATCAAACTGCTCTCCCTTTTCCTTGACAACAAACTCGTGATATATACATATATATATACACATATATATATATATATATGTATGTATGTTCTATGAATCTTTTTGTTTCTTTCCGTCCCGGTGTGAGCATGCCCCTTGTGCTGATCTGCAGTCATTCTCGTCGCATCACTCCGACAGCAGCAAAAACATCACCACCACCACCACCACCACCACCACCACCACCACCACCACGACCAGCAGCAGCAGCAGCCACCACAACCACCAGCCCACCACCACCAGCACCATATTTGCACTTCATTTCGATGGGGCCTTCTACCAAGGTGGCCTGAAACCTGGGACAAATTGTGGAGATGACATCTTCTACATCACTAAAATATCTCGCGGGCTTGCACCACAGTCTGGCAACCGCCGCAAATCGAGGATGAGGCACAAGCCCATACCCAGCTCAAACCTATCCGCCAACTTGTTCTGACCTTGTGCTTCTCATGCACTACCCCACCTGAAGGTATCGGGAGAGGCCCTCTTCGAACCGGCATGACTCTTGAACCCTGAGCTCTCACGCAAAGATTACCTCCACCGATAAAGCCTCTTTTTCAAGACACCAACCCGCCAAGAGCTGTCACGATCTTCCTACGAGCTGAGTTGGGGGCAAGCTCCGCCACATGCAAAGTGCCGCTGCCGTCTGCATCGATAATCTCGAACAGGTTGGCCCGGTCGGGTGGAAGTTCCTTGCGAGCACCACTGCTGCTACAGCAAAAAATCAGCACCGGCAGAAGAAGCCGCACCGGCAGTAGAAAGACTGTGCTACCAACAACAATCACAAATGCAGTACGGCTTAGAGTGAACAATTGTAACCCGGAAGCCCCAGAGAAGCGAAAGAGAAGCTTCTAAATCCAAAGCCACAAACAGTCAGCCCAGGCGCCAACTCATCCATGAGATCCTGGACACGACGGTCCTGCCAGGGCGACTGGTCGCGAACTTGCAAAGAAGCAGTCAGAAGGAATGATCCTCCCATGATCCTCCAGGAGACTTCCGTGGTTGATTTGGGATGTTCGTGGGGGGGAATCTTGACAGTTTCTGGCATGATTTGGGGTACTGCTTGAAGGCCAGCCGCCTGAATCACGATGAGGAACAACTCCTTCGTAATAGCGATGCCTTCCTCGGCTGCAGGCACTTGAGAGACTTGTGGCTTCGCAACTTCGGTTCTGCGGCCGAGTCTTGGTGGTGGCTTCAAACCCAAAAATGACAACAGCGAGACGTAACAAATGGTCAGAGGAGAGATCGACTTCTCAAGATCTTCGAGGACTAAGGCTCTAGTGAAGAGAAGTCCGAAAACCCAAGGAAAGAAGGATCCTCCCCGAGGCGCGTGGACGTCGCCGTCCGTGAAGACCATATCGCTCTTCCTGTTGGAGATGTCCAGATACTTCTCACCACTCCCGTCTTCCTCAAGAGCTCTTGGTTTCATGTTTGCTCTTGCGTGTTTCTTTGTGTAGATGTATGCATGCATTATCTATTTACTTGACCGCATTCATGTCTACTTGCTTTGTATTTGTGGGGGTTAGGGCTTGGGGCTTACGGCTTCAAGGGTCCAGAGATGTCCAGAGTTTAGGGTTCCGGGATCGCTTCTGGACAACTGCATCGGCCATCGAGGAAACCCGAAGAGTCCAGCGCACCCCTCAATTAATGCAACACCCCTCAAACTATATGAGCTGAGCCCTAAACCCTAAAGCATTTATGCAGGGCTTTTGTTAGATCAGATGCTGGGCTGTCTGGGAACTTCCGCCTGCACTGACACAACGAATCCCCAAGTCCTAAAGCTTTGGTCCTCAAGACCCCCAAGACACTGTAACCTCCACCCGAGAGGGCTCGGCTGCGAGCTTCGAAAAGCATGCTCACAGATCTTTCTGAATGAAATCGGGTAGACCACTGATGCTTTGCGGCAGAGGAACCATTTCCTGGAACATCCGATAGGCTCCAGCAAACTTCTTCAACAGTTCCCGCGTGATGCGGGCAATCCTGCGCCGACAAGCCGGCAGCAGACATGCAGGAGGTGTGTGCAAAGTGTGCAGGTGGCGTGTTTCCATTGACGGTTCGAAACACTGAGGCCCTGCTCCGTGAATTTGGACGCTAGTCAATCACCAACGAATCAAACTGTCTATGAAAAGCACGCGTCACCCTGACAGAGCCCCGAGCCACAAGGAGGTCCTGATGGACTCTTTCGAGTGCTGCTCCAAAGTGACGGCATCGTTCTCCTGGTGGGATGAAGTCAGTCGGGGGATTTGGGTTGAGGGCTCAGAGCTCGACAGAAATAGAAGCGAAGGAAGTGAAGTAATTCAGATTCGGGAGCATCGACATGGCAAGCGAAGCGGCACAAGCACAAGAGGAAAAGCAATACTGACGCAGGACCTGAGCCACTGTTGCTAAATTTCAATCGCTGTAAAGCTCAGGAGAGGAGCGCAGCAACCAACAGAGGAGCAGAGGCAGCAACAGGAGCAGCAACATGGAGCATTGAAATTCGTCGCCGTCGTATTCGCGGCAGCTTAGGTGGCAAGAGCACTCTAAGACTGCAGCAACAGAAGCTACGACAGCTACGACTCTTTGCCATCCCAAGCCCAGTCGGTAGCTGTCAGGTGCTATCCCTTCCCAGGCTCGCCTTGGCAGCCTTCATCGTGATGTCGACATATACCGCCAGAATCCTGGGATAAAGTGCGTAGCAGCCTCTATATATATATATATATATATATATATATATTATGTGTGTGTGTATATATATATATATACGCTTCTGTATGAATGTATGTCTCTGTGTATATGACGTTGTAGTGCTGGTACCCGTGGACATGGAACCCCAGAGCCTGCGCATCGGAATCTGGACGAGAGGAGTCGAGGGTAGGTAAGGACCTGGCTCCCAAAACCCTCGACCGTGGACCCTGGAACCCTAGAGGCCGTACCGTGCAGCCGTGGCACACATTGAAAATCCCCAGCGACACCAGCATATAGCTCGCAACGTAGGAGAAGATGAAGACAGGCCCAAACTCTTCGGCGAGGATGGAGTGGATCGTTCGTCCGTCGTGGTCTGTGCACTCTCCAGTGAAGCAGCGAAAGGCCGTGAACATGGAGGCTGGGATCGTCTTGAAGAAGGGCAATAGGTCTTTCACGATCTGTGGCTGATCGTCCAAACCGATGCTCTGACCTTGCAAGACAGAATCCAGCAGAAACCTTTACTTCCTAAACCCGGATACATGCAAACAACCTTTTTCTACCGTTGCTGCCGAGGCTCCGAGAGTCATCGTGGCGAAGCCGCTGATGACATACAGGACCGTGAAAAGCAGTGTAAATGCCATCACCAAAGTTTTCACCCCAGCAATCAGCCCCTTGACCATCAGCCGCAAATCCTTCTCATCATTAGCACTCATGTTCGAGCATGATATTGCTTTCTATTACTTGGCAGTTCGGTGACTGCTCATGCTCTTGTTTGTCACGCTCTGGTTGAATACCCTTGATATCCGCAAGTCCTTCATGGCCTTCAAGCGGAAAACCTTGACGATTCGCACCTCGGACGTGGCTTAAGGCTCTGGGACTTCGAAGGATTTTTAGGGGGCCCTCAGCGGCTCTTCGGGCTCAGTTGGGACTTTGGGCGTAGTGCCGCCCAGGAGCCAGACGGATCAATCTGCAGAAACGGAGCAACGACGTGCCAAAGAAAGACTCCTCGTGACAACACTACTACTACTCCACCTGCTGCTGCTACTGCTACTGCTGATGCTACTACTACCACCACCACCACCGCCGCCACCACCACTACGACTACCACTACGACTGCCAGCTTCGGCTGTGGTGGGGACTGCGGCTGCGGGCTACGGCTCAATTAAGACTTCGACTGCGACTACGACAACTATTTCTACTGCCTCCACCTCGAATTCGACTTCTACATCTTCTTGTTCTCATGCTGCTGCTGTTCATGCTACTGTTGCTGCAGCAAAAACCACGACGACCAGTGGCGGTGGCGGCGGCGATGACGAACACCACAAGCATGGCAACGAATCACGACCACCGCCACCACCACCAGCACCACCAGCGACCACGACCAGGGCGGCAACGACGGCAAGGATGAAAACGGCGATGACAACGACCATCACCACCACAACAGCAACAACAACAACAACATACAACAACACCGCCACGGCCAGGAACACCGTCAGCTACCGCTGTAGCTACGAGTACCATCCACTACAGCTGCAAGTGTGAACTTCAGCCCACCCTGAGAATTCGAGCGAGCAAAGAGAAGTTCGGAAAAGATGCCTTGAGCAAGAGCCTCGGAAGGGCCACACGACCGCTTTGGCGGTTTCGGAAAGGTTGCGCCGGCCTAGGGCCTACAGAGCTTCCAGCGCCGCCAAGGATCGTTGTTGTTGTCCGAGGCCAGCTGGATGATCACGTCAGTGACCCCCGTGAGGCCCAGGAAGACGTCAAAAAGGTTCCACCTCAAAAAAACACCCGAGCCGAGATTCGGGCGCATTCATGTGTGCATTTTGCACAGGGGCAGTGCCCGAGCGCCGAGGAAGTTGCAAGCTTACCAGTTCACAAGTCAAAGCTGCCGGCCCTACAAGTAGCGGAGCCTTCAGAGTCCAGAGACAGCCAAACTGAGAAAGAGAGAGGGAGAGAGACTGAGACTGAGGAGATCGAAAGGACGGGGAGTGCCCGACGTGATGAAACCCTGACCGCAAAGAACTCCGATCGTTGAAACCAAAGTAGCTTCATACCAGCACTGCGACGCAGTCTCTCTGCGACTCCGACGATTCGCAGAGATTCTCGGGGTATGCCACACCAAGTGCTTCGGCTACGGATTCAATGTTTAGGCGGCATACGGTAGTTAAATCTTAAGGAAAGGCGGATCCGCCGACACAGAGACGCGTGAGCGGATCAGCGCGTGCGACTGGAGAGTGCCGTGTTGCGCGTTGGGGTATAACGTATCAGAGTTGGGCGGCATAGCTTGCAGAACCTAGTGCGGCGACGCTTGCACGGATTGAATGTGAACACTGATCCACGGTTCTTTCTTCAAGTTACCAACTTTAAGAGAAGGCCAGAATGCTGCAGCTCAGCCCCTCTGAAGAAGCTTCGGCGACCTCCCGCAGGCGGGGGGGCAAAAGGGCCCCACTGTCATCACAGCAAGGGTGCAAGGGGCAAAATCTGTTGTCTCAACGAAATGCCCGTAAGTCACGCGACACAACTCGCAAGTTCTTCTTGGCACCATGGCTCTATGCGTTACCCTCTCCCCATGTTGCTTTAACGACGAACAGCATCAACACCGCAAGTGGTGCTACTGCTTGGGATGCTCTGCATCAGCTACAGTTGAACGGAACGGGGACCCCAAGAACAGCCTTGTCATAATTTGCTCACATCGGGCATCAAGTATGATGTACAGTTCTCCTCATCATGATCATTAGCGACGTCATCATCATCACCTTCTTTTCAGTATGACGATGACCGATGACAACCGAGACTAGCAGCTATGACAACGGGCATGATAGCGGGAAGAACCAGAAGTGACCTGCCCCTTCCAAAAGGTACAACACCGACAGCAACGGTATAACATGACAGTCATGAAACTACTCATGACGCTAATATGGTGGTCACCCTCCGCAGCAATCGCAACAAGCCTCATGTATAGTACCCAGACTCGCTCCAGAATGTAGTGAAGTGCTCCGAGCTTGATATTTGGCGAGGATGCTTCAAACCTGCCTTGAAGATACATGCGCAAAGCAATCTCCATCACCAAAAAGATCGCGAAGGCTGATTCCACCTTATGTGGCCATGCCCGCTATCACTGCAAGAAGAACATCACGGAGTCGCGCGCGCATCGTCCCAACGTGCAGCCGGAGCTGCAATGATCCAGTACGGCCATGATTCCCAATAAGGGTGCGTTTGGAAACCAATCCTGAGATGCGGGGACGGGGACCCCACGCGTTAGGTGCCCCTGGCCCCGCGTCGCCGCTAGTGACATGTGAGTGTGTTGGGGACTGTTAGATTGGATCCAGGCACATCACGCCATTCGCGATGATGACGACTGCCACCAGTGGCTCTAAGCACCTCACGAAGTTTCGGACGTAGCGAATCTGGAGATGAACGCATTGAGAGGAGGAAAGAGGAAAATCTGAGGTGGGCACAAGAGGAGGTTCATCGGCTCCGGTGGAGCCGCCAGATCGTTAATCCGAACAAATGTCAGCTCTGCAACAAGCCGGTTTGTGTCCTCGGGCGGTCGTCAGGTGCTGAAGCAGGCGACGCTGCGAATCCAGCTTGGGCTCAGACAGCTTTCTTGACACAGCTCAAACTACCCAATCACGGTGTGTGCCCTGGCGTGCACTTCTTGCGGTCCAGCTATACACGGAGGCAGGGAACGTCCAACGAGCGGATTAGAAAACCACAGAATACCCGAAGAAGCGCACCTGACCCGCAGCCCTGTGAATTTCCGATACCGCCGAGCGACTCCCGCCAGAAGGATCTCTTTCATGGCCTGACGACCGACGACAGAGGGGGCTGGGCGTACATGTATGCCCACTGCACACTCAGACCCTAAAACCCCCCAAAACCCAAAACCCCCCTGCAAGATCCTTCAAGCTTCTGGAGCTTGGACACGCGTTCGGCCTGGAACTGCTTCAAGATGCGAGGTCCGAAGCACTTCCGGTGGACATCTCCCTCCTCCGGTCCGGGATGAAAGGCTTAGGGCTCGGGCTCAGATGGGTTTAGGGCTCGGGTCCGGGTGTGTTTCGTCTCCAAAGAGCTAGAAAGTCGGGCAAACATATGCCAGGTTTGTCCCGGGCCCCCATGGAAGGTGGAGCTCTCCTGTGCAAGGAAGAGGTCCATCAGAGGCTGCGCCGGCACCACGTTTAGGTGGCCTAAGAGGCTTCAAAGACTCGAAGCACTGCCCTAGTGGTATACCTTTCTGACTTTGGAGGGGTTCGCGATGATTTGTTCAGGAGCTCGGGGCAAATGTTTCTTAGGGACGTCCAGCTTCTCACTTCAATCCTTTCTCGAGTTCTCTACGAGGGAAGCCGAGATGCAGCGCGGTGCCATGTCAACGTAGGCATTGAGGGATGCCTTGGAGGGTTTGGGCTTAGGTTGGCCAGCTTAGGGCGTAGAGCTCTCGGGATTTCGGCCGTAAAGCCGTACAGCTTGGGATTTGAGTCCAAGATTAGGGTTCATGACCTGGATCATCACTTCGATCCAGGGCTTGAAGTCATCAGCGTGGGATGCGCAGATGCGCAGGACATCATTGTGCTGCAACTAAAAGCAGCGGCGAAAGGAGAAATGGATAGCTCCAGTGGAGCACACATCTCGGACGGTCGACGGTCCGAAAAGTGAAATTTCATGAAGACCCAAAGGAAACTCGAGGCCGCTAGGCACAAAAGCCAAGGACTCCTTGCTCCGTGGTGCACTGCGATGAAAAGACTCACGCCCCGAAGCGCCCATGTGGGGCCATTGCCAGACCTCGGGCAGGAAACCAGCGCATTGAAGGTTCTCGGAAAAGACTATCAGCTGCCACCACAGCCACCAATTGGGAAGCTGTGGTGGGGTGCCGGCGCTAGAGCGAGTGCAAGTGCTGGTGGCGGTGGTTGCGATGTTGGCGGGGGTGGGTCAAACAGAGGGTCGGGCAGGGAGAAAGAAGTTAATAGGTCGAGTTCTGGAAATACCACACATTGCGGCAGCGGCGGTTTCAGCGCCTCAGGGGCTGCCGTGCTCGTTGGAGTGACAGTGGTGGCAAAACCTGAGGCCTCGATATGCCTCGATCTTCGATCCTAGACCCAAGGAACTTCAAGGAACCTCAAGGAACCTTAAACCTCAATGCCCAGTGGCTGGCTTGCCGAGGCTGTTCACGTCACTCAGTCTGAAGCCGAACATGCTGGTCGAGGACTCGCCTGGGCTTTGTAGGCGTAGCATGATGCAGTGACGGTCTTGTACTGCACACTACTATGCGGGACATAGTACACCGTCACTAGAACTCGCAATAAAATCATATGCAGCAACATGCTCTGTCAGTCGATGGGAAGGCAGGAGGGACGAAGAGACCAACTGCGGAGAGTTGCTGACTCGCCGACCCGTCGGCATCTTCGTTTCCGATGCCTCGAAAGCAAGGGGTGAGTATCGTTGGTTTGAGGGCTCTGAGTGCCTGAGGCTTTTCGGGCCTCGAAGGTGAGGTCGATGAAATCTGCCAAGAGGTTCACAAGCTCGTTCATGTCCTCGATGGTGTACCGCGTAAGGCCCAGCGAGCTACCTGCACTTCCAGGATGCCCCCTATGAAGGGGTCCCAGGAATCATATGAGGATCGTACGATTCTGGGGGCGCATAAACTTGGGTCCCTTACTCTCCACAGCTCAGCCGAGCGGCAAGCATCATGTAGGGATTTTCCCGTCACGAGTTTCTTGGACGTTAGGGCTCCCAGCCGCAGCCGTAACCTGTGGCGGATTGCTCGCGCCTCCTCGTCACCTTGCACATAACATGCGGTGAAGAAACGATCATAGATGCATACATGTAAAATGTAATATGTATACCTTTGTTCGTGCAACTATAGGCCATAGGATTGTGTATGCATGTATGCCTCTAGGTATGCGTGCATGCATGTATACGTTATGCATGCAAGCTGAGCCTGTCACACATGCATACGTACATACATACATACATACATGCATGCATGCATGCATGCATGCATGCCTACCTGCATAGATCAGGTAACGTACAAACCGCACCACGCCGCACCGGTACAAAACATAAACATAGCATGCCGCACCGTAACGACACGCCATACTGTAACATGCCACACCATGCCACTTTAACATAACATAGCGTGACATGGTGCATTTATATGATATACGTTTCTACGAGGACTGATTTCTTGCGAGATCGATGTGCAAGTACCCCTGCTTGCGGTCTTACTGGTATTATTACATACAGTCTGTCTCCTTCCGGTCTCTGTGTGATCAACACCGCCAAGAGGCCAAGATGCTCCAGCGAATCCTTCAGCGGGTGAGATTCTTTCCTGGAGACCCCGATCCTCGGCTGCCAAAGTAGGCTGAGACGGTGCGACCGTGCCTTCCGCTTTGATTTCTTCCCATTTTGCGACCAGGGCTCCCCCCAATCTGGGACCACTCGCTGTCCACTGTCTTGGCATGCCTCAAGTCGACAAGTCGCAGACTGAGGAAGGCACCTTCAAACCTTCCGCCAAGCAGCTCCAGATGCTGGCTGGCAGTACCGCTGCCACTGGAATCATTAAAGGAGCGCGTGTCGCCCTGCTCCTTGGGCTTGCTTTCTATGGCCGCGCCTGTCGAGACTTGACCTCATTGCCGGAAAGATGTAAGGGTACTTTTCATTTAGAGTCTTCTGAGTCTTCAGAAAAAGCATCTCTTCCAAAGCGAAAGTCTTTGCAGGTGCGGCAACAGGCACCGGCGCTCGGTCGCTTGCCACTCGGCTTCGGGACACCGAAGCCCTTGGGAAGGGCATGGGCCCCGTGCGCGGCCTGGGCCCCGTGGGCCTCTTCGAAGGTGGCGTGGGCACTGTCGTCGGGAAACGCCCCCAACAGCTGAGCCCGCAAGGCGTACAGGGAGTCGTCGACCAGGTGGGCGAAGGCCTGGCGCTTCTGAGCAGAGCAAGCGGCAAGCCTGAAATCTCCCCACTCAGCTGCGGCGCGCTGCGGGGCCTCCTTCTTCATGGCCGTGGCCAGCACGACAAAATGCGACTACAGCATGCACATGGCATCTCTGATCCTAGCCAAAACTTGATCTCTCGCAAACGGCACAGCGGCAATGAATAGTTGAATAGCCGAAACATGGAGCTCAGGCTCAGACTCAGCTCCATCTCTGGGCTCAGAACTGTCAGAACTTGTCAAGTCATGCACTGTCCACGAGGGGCTACCCAAACTCTCGCCGGATATGATCCCTTGAAAACCAATACAATACAAGCACCTTCTCCCAAGGTCTTGCAGCAGGGATGCTCGGGAGGATGTGAAAGCAGACCAAGCAGTAACACAAAAGTCCAAGCAACGGCAGCGACAGACCAACAACACTCGGGGCAAAAGCATCGCTGCAGATCTACAGTATGGCGGCCTCTGGCAGACTACAACGGCATGTGCGAAGCCTTCTGGCCTCCGCAGACACTACAATCACTGACCTCTCTGGCTATTTTTCGCAGAGAGAGCACAAGAGAGAGCCAGAGGGAGCGTGCGATACCCTGTGCCGAAGACGGTTCTTGCCTCGAGTCCATCGGACGGCCCTCTTTGGGGCCCGTCGCGTCCATGTGCTGCGCGAAATCTCTCAAGAGATTGGAGGATGGTCCCGGGGGATGGGAGTCAGACCAGTCTGAGTTCAACTTGTAAAGTCCACTAAACCCGCATGAACCCTGGAGTTGGCCATATGCCTCCTATACTCTGCACTACTCCGTGCTGTGGGCGAGGGGTTGCGTGCTCAGTCATTGATGCTGCAGAGTGAAGTTGGCTCGATGAGCTGTGCGAACTCCTCGTCGAGACTTCGAAGACTGTGGGAACCAGACCTGAACCTAAAGAAGATTCCGAGATCAACGAACGAGCGCAACTTGTAGCAGAAACAGACATGCAGCAGGCGCTCCTGGTTGCAGAATCTGCCGATAATCTCCACGATGAGTAGCGCCTGCAACTCCATGAGACAACATCAGCAGCATGGTACAGCACTGCTAGGCCCAGGCTCTGGGGCCTTTGTGGTTCTCAACCTCTTCATACTCACCCGCATCTTTCCTTCGGAACTCGAGTGCCGAGTGCGGCGCCGTGGAGACCGCCATCACGCATCCTGAACAGATGGCACTCCACTTCTCTGTCTCCCGTCCTCTTGCAGCAAAGCAGGAGCAGAGCATCCGTCACAAAAAAAGAACCCAACGAGGAACGGCCCAGGTGCTTGTGATGCTGCACAGAATATTCCATTGGGACATATCTTGAAGCTCGCAACAGGTACTCGGCTCGGCCTATCGACAGCACCGGCGGTGATTGCCGCTTCGCGCCCTCAGCCGCAGCTTGCCACAGCACAAGCTCGGTCATGAAGCTTGCACGCAACAGATCACGGCTGCCATCGCCATCCCTGCCATCATCATCGTCATCCTTGAACACAAAGGGCCCGGGACCGGCTTCTCACACCTCAGAGTCCGGGTGCTGCACTTGAAGGTAGGCGTTCACGATGTAGTGCCCAAGCAAGGTGCAGCCGAAGCCTGCCAGCGGAGCTCAAAACAAAGAGAAAGAGACAGAGAGACTCAGACTCCCAAATAACTCCCCAAGCTCCCCATGAAGTTTCATCGGAGACTGCGCATACTGCAGTGATTGATGGTTTCGTCAGCTGCAACGACTACCTACAGCTGCAACACTCACAAATACCAAGACCCTGAAGATTACCTAGAATCCTAGAACCCTCAAGCCCGGACCACCCATAGACCCTGGCCCTAAAACCCGGAAGCCCCAGGAGCCCACAGCTCTTCAAAACCCCATTTAAAAAGCCGCGCCGCCACAGCGCCCAAAGCCCCAAAACCCTCAAAGGAAATCCCTCCCAGTTTAGGGCTGAGGGTTTAGGGTTTGGGGTTTAGGAAACCTCCCCTCCCCCGTCCCCCCCGGGGCCCGGGGCGGCCCCGGGCCTAGCATGAAGCACAGAGAGCCGTAACTCGGCTCCAGGAGGCCGAAGACCTCCCCAAAGGCTTCGGAAAAAAGGGGGCCCATATGCCGGGGGGTTTCCGAAAAGTAGGGGTACCTTGATTCTTTTGGGGTCCTTATAGTAAGGATCCTACTATTTAGGGCACTTACTATATTAGGGTCCCCTATTTTCGGAAACTCCCATACCGAGAGAGTAAGAACAAGACCTGCTACCCGCAACAAATCCGCAACTTCTAGGAAGGGCCTGGGCAACAGCAAGGCTAGTGGTAACATGAATGGCAGTGAGAAGTCCATACCTTAGTTACGGGTTGAAGGCTTCTAGGGCTCTAGCGGTTTCGCATGTTGGAATTTCAAGGTACTATGTAGCTTTATGCAGGACTTCAAAGTTGCGGACGTTGAAGGCGGCTATGTTTAACTATGTTTGTCATTGGTACAAGTGCAGGCTTCGCCTTCAATGTGGAGTTTGGGAGTTTCCTTGGAGCCTTCACTGCGACTCTTCGACCGCGCTGTCTCCCACCTCAAACGAGACGGCGGTCGCCATGGAGGTGAAAAGAATCCTGAGAACGACGCGAGGCCAGAAAGCAATTGCCCTGTTCAACTGCATGGACTCAGGCAGGCAAGGGTCATCGTAGCTGCAGTGGCCGATGCCACCTGAGGAGCCACCCCAAGCTCCAGCATCAAGGGCCTCGGACAAACACCCTCTGTTTGAAGATTGATTAAGAATTTGGGTTCTAAATCGCTATCACCATGGTTACCTAGGTTTCCTCATTCTTCAAGCGCCACAGCCCCTCTCTCTCTCTCTCTCTCTCTCTCTCTCTCTCTCTCTCTCTCCTCTCCCTACTCTCTCTCTCTCTCTCTCTCTCTCCCTCTCTCTCTCCCTCTCTCGCTCTCGTCTGTTGGAAGACTTCCGAGGCAGCCACCCCTTGATGATGCCACCTGGCGCAGGACTGAACTTCGCCGCAGAGGCTCTTGCTGCCACTGCTATGAAAAACAACCTTCCAAGAAGCATCCAAACAATCATCATCATCGTCAGAACCATCATCATCATAATCATCATCTGTCATCATCATCATCAACATCATCATCATCATCAACAACATCGACATCAACATCATCATCAACATCATCATCATGATCAGCATCACAAGACGAAGCCTTGTGATCATGGGAATACTCTGAACACTCAGAAGCTTCCAAAAAATCCTCGGCCGGCCTCCCACGCCGAAGAGTCCGGCCAGGATCCCGGCCACGCTGCAGAGCAAGGGGTACCTGAGAGCTCTTACAACTGTTACAAATACTATGGTACAAAAAGGGTTGCGTTCGACGGGTACGAGAAAGGTTAGTATAAGGCTAAGGGTCGCTAATCACAAGCGTGGCTTTGCGGGTGACAAGCATACGGGGATACTTATTGGCGCTACACGGCTTGCTCCAAGTCAGTGTACTCCCAAAACAACTTGTGATGTTGGGTAACCGCAAAACAAACAACACCCGAAACCCCCCTCCCCTCTCGGGCTCGGTTGCCGGATGGTCGTGGCCGACGTCCATCGGATCTCCGAGGCGGCGAACTCATGGCCATCCTGCACGAACGAGCTCAACTTCTTGCTTAAAGTGGCTTGGGGCTCAGGGCTTTAGGGCTTTGCAGATATGTGTTGCTATGGCTTTTGAACAAGCCCGCCGTTTGGGACGTAGGGTGCTTTGGCAGAGCGGTTTGAGAAGCACTCGGTAGCGTAGAGCCTAGAGACCTGAAAGCACGGAATGCCTTTTGCACAAACAGCCAGATCCCAGATGCATCTCAAGGCCTAAAGCTTGATTCCTGAACTCTTCGAGCCAACCCTGGCCTCAGCGGATGTTCGTGGGAGGGGGGCTAGTCGTTAAGCAGAGGTTTGCATGCTAGAGAACTGCTTCAACCCCGGCCTCCTCCTTGTCCAGGTTCTCGCTGATGAGCATATCTCTAAAGATAAGGCCTGGCCAAATCACCGCAGCCTACGAAAGGTGCAAGGACAGTCCACCTACGCGCTGTGCTTCGGGTTTAAGCTTCAGGTTTACGGGCCCTAGCTGAAGGCTGAAGCTTGACCGAAGCTTAAACTCCAAAACCTAGGCCCCAAGCCGCGCCCCCTAAACCAAAAGACTCAGACCCGAAACCCTCAAGCGCCCTCCGGTGGCAGAAAGCTCTTACCGATTCAAGGGCTGAACTGACTCAAAAACCCTAAACCCTAAACCCTTAAACCCCTAAACCCCCCTAAACCCCCATAAAGTCTAAACCCCCCCCCATAAACCCCCCCCCTAAGCCCTGGAAAAGGCGGCTGGTACTGTTCTCTTGGCTTCCGGGCCGAAGCCCAGCACCCAGGGAAGCTGCGCCCAGCTCAGGAGCCAAAAGCTGCCCGAGCCGCACTGCACGCCTTGAACGAGGAGGAGCGACGGCGCGACAGAGGAGGCTCGGCCGGCTCGGCGGGCTCGGGCTTTCAGGGCTTAGAGTTCAGGGCCTTAGGGTTTTAGGGTTCTTCTCATCACGAGAGGAGCTCGCAGCTCTTTTCGGGCTCGGGCGCGGTGTGTTGTTATATTGGAGGGGGGGAGTTTCTTGCGAGGTGCTGAATGTCCTCCAGCATTTCAAGCTATCCCGGCAATTAGAGGACAAGAAGCTGTAGAGGAAACGCCCTCGGTTACTCGAGCCTGAGCTGTGCGGTTTCTTGAAGTTCGTTGTGGTTTGATGTCGAGATCATCAGCCTCTAAGCACTACGGCCCTATAAGCCACTGTGCGGTGCTCCTTGCCTACGACGGATCCACCTCCACCACCTTTCAGAACGGTCAAGACCTTGGGCGAGGTGGAGGCAAGGTTGTGCAACTGAAGCTTTTGACCAGGGTTTCTGCATGTTTCCGCCATCATGTGTTGCATCTCGAGGACCTCTCCGCTGAGCAGCCAGCTACGCAGCCCAGAAAGCAGCAGACGAGCAGGCAGACCTGTTCGAAGCTTCGCGTGCTCACGGGTGGGGCGGCGGGCCAGTGGGCACGGACGGTGCCTTCAGCCAGGGCGTCCCCGCTCCCACCGT